GCATATAAAGCAAAAGATCATCTTTCTTTTGCGACATGCATAAAAGCTCTTGCACCTATCAATAAGGATTTGGATGTACTAGACTTATGTATTTCCACTAAACTAATGGGATTTTGGATTAAACTATCAAAAAAAATTAAGGTTACAAGAAATCCAATCTATTTGAGGATTATACTTTTTCAACCAAGATAATTCTAAAATAACTAGATTAGATAGAGATCTTATTATATTAAATATTATTATATTATTATGAGCCTTAATTGCTACATCTAAAGAAATAATCTTATAAATAATATCTCCAAAAGATAGTGAATGACTATCTATGACTTCTATATATATATATATATATATATATATATAGATTTATTTTTTTTAATTAATAATATTTCTTATTTTTTGACAAATTCTTTGTCTATAAAATAGGTTGAGGCTCTTAAATCTAACAAAGCTAAGACTTTGTGATTTTTTGGTCCTAAATAAACTTTTGTTATAAAAGAAAGTGAGGGATTTGAAGAGAGAATAGAACCTTTACTAGGAGATATGTAAGATTCTAACTGCATGGTTCCTATTGTAGCTAAAAAAGCTCATTTTTCAATACATTGTCTTCTTTGGCAACCATGCTTTTCATTTTGTGGTTGTGTTGTTTCTTTAGATAATGTTGAGGAGTGTGTTTAACTTCTCTACAATATAAGCATAAAGCCTCTTAATGTCATTGAGTCTTTTCTTGCTTCGTGAAGGATTTAAAATATATCTTATCAATTTGTATTGATTCTAACTTTGATGAATGTGTTTTTGAAAACTTGGAAGTTTTTGTTATTACTTGATTTATTCCTCTCTATCCAAGTCTTTGTTCTTGATGTCTTTTAAATAATTGATTATTCCATGCAATAACTTGAATAATAAATTATTTCAAAGATTTTACCTTTGACATTGTCACTAACAAATCTTCGATATTATTCTTCAACCCATATCAAAATTTATTGATAAGGACTTTGTCATTTCAGTCCATATTATAAGCTAGGTTTTAAAGTTTAGCAATATATATGGTAGTTGATTATAATCCTTGTTGCAAAGGTAAGAGCTTAGTCTCTACTACTCTTTCTAAATCACTTTTTTTAAATGTGGCCATAAATACTTCTAGAAATGGATTTAAATCATAAAAGAGTCGTACATCTTTTTCTATTAAAGCTGCAAATCAAAAAAGAACACTTCTTGATAGAAGTGTGCCTATAAATTTAACTTGAATAAATCCATTAGGATATTGGAAGGAATGTAATCTTAGATAGAACTTCATTTATTGCAAAAACCCTCAAAATTTTGATCTTGTTTTGTGAAACTTCTCATCCATACTAATGCTTGTTTCCATCATACTTATAAATAAAAAACTCCCTAGATTTGGTTGTGAGGTCAATTTATTTGTTTTCTTTCATTGTACAATTTTTTATTATAGACTTTGAACTTCTTCCATAAGCATAGGAATAGTACCTCCATGATTCACATTGGAAAGATGTGAAAATTCTACTCTTAAAGTGTTGAGAAGCTCATAAAGATGTGTAATGATTGTAAAATTATTCTTACTTCTGTTAGGAGTACTACCCATAATCTTTCCTTCTATAGACAACTCAAACAAGTTTAAAAAGTTAAATTAAAGGAAGGTAATTTACAACCTCTAATATCAAATGAAAAATTTCTACAAAGAAATATATTGCACTCTCTTTAAAGAAAAGATTAATATTAGAAAATAAGATTATTTATTTAAAGGTGGATAATCTTCAATCTTCAAAATACAACAATAAAAGTGAAATAATCTACTTACTTCTAAAACAAGAGAAAAAAGTAAGTTAGTATTCTTGTCAAATTTTCAAGGACATGAATCTCAAAGAAAAAAATCCTCAATATAGTCTTGTGACACTGAAAAGAATTAAATAGTCTTTCAAAGATGATATATTATTAAACTAGAATGGCTATTGCCAAAAAATAAGGAAACTAGAAAGTCTTAAAATAAGCCTAAGGACTGAAAGGCATTGATAAGAGTAAAGAAGGCTTTACTATTGCCTCTATATATATTCTTGATCAAGAGCTATGTGGCAATGTCCTATGTAACCTTCAAAAAATATTGACTTTACAAGACACATATCTTAACTTACAATGCAAGTTTTCTACATGTGTACTACATAATTAAACTACTCTGTAAACTATCAACACATGGTTAACTTGTTGACCAAGTTTCTAACCTATCGATCAACTACAAATACATATAAAGTCAAATCAGTGCCTATAAAGCTTCTACAAAGCTTTTCTAGAAGGTATTACAAAATTAACTTATTTTTATTTATTTTTATCTATTCCTATCTAATCATATAAGTATTTATTAGAGAATATATATATATATATATATATATATATATATATCTATAACAATCACTTCTTTCTAATTAGTATTCAAGCCATGTTTTTATTTTAATCTTCTAAAAATATCTCAAGCAATTCTTGCAATCTTCTCTTATCACTTGAATAAACAATTCTATCTTTTTTCTTTCTAAAGTTATTTTTTTGGTTTTTATCAATTGCACATATTCATGCTTGAATTTCATCAAAATTTTATTTATTAATGAATCTTTATTAGGCCATGAAATTTACTTTAATAACATTTTCTTTGTCACCTTCTTTAAATCTTTTATAAAAAATTCTTCTTTCAATGCTTACATAAGCACTTTTCAATTCTCTTTATTAATTTTTTTTAGTTCTTTCATATGTTCATAAATTTCAAAAATCATATCAAGTTCAAAACTCTCAATTATCTTGTTCTCCAAAATTTTATTTAATTCTATCTCTCTTGCATAAATTCAAATATACTTTGAAACATTCCATTGATCAAATTGATCCACCTTATCAATATTAAAAGATGATGTCTTTTTTGCTAAAGCTTCTTTTTCGTGCTCAATATTTTGTTGATGCATATACAAATTAAAAGCCTCAAATATTTTTAAAGTACCACAATTAAATTCTACCAGCTATTTACCTTCATCCTCTATATGCCCTACACACACAAATATATACTACCTCAACTTTAAACTTTTTATATTGGATTCATTAAAAATATGTTAAAAATTTTGTTATTGATATTGAAAATAATAAAGCTTCTTATTGTAAAGATCTTTCTTGCTTATATATGTCTTAGTTAGTTTCTATCCTCTTTTTTGTACTTGTTTGTACTAAATTATCAATGAAATCTTCACTTGTACTTAATTTGACCTACTTCACTTGAAACTTATATAACTCAATGTAAAATTAATAGAATGATTTAAGACCTTTTGTAATAGATTATATATCTTATTTTTTCTTTATAATTTAATTTTTAAAGTTATTAGTGATTTAAATCATTTATAGTAAGTAAATTTTTTAATCTAATTTTTTGTCTTTGTTTTCTCCTCACAATCTTATACTTAGTTATTCTTTTATGCATATCTTTTAAAAAAATTATTAAAATTATTAAAAAAAAAAATTATTGAGCTTTTGACTTAACAAAATAACTAATCTCTAATTTTCACAATCATAGCTTTCATAGACACCAAGTTATGACTTCTTAAAATTAATGCATTTGACTTGCAAACTTGTTAGACTCACTATCCTTTGGGACTTCATAGTTCCTTGACATGGTAGATTTTTGCCTTCAAAATTTGTACATAAGTAGATACACTTGTCTTAAACATTGTCTTAAAAAATTCTTATAATCAAAAATTACAATCGATCACAATAGATTCCAATTCAAGATCCAAAATTTGCCTTCTTTATTAACAAAAACAAAAGATACAACATCAATGTCTTTCTGCCTCTTCTTACTCTCTTAAGTCACCTTGACACTTTAAAAATATCACTAAGATATCTCTAAGATAAGAATCCACAACATACAATCTATCTTATCTTTATTCTAATCTTTAAAAATATCACAAAGAGGACTCCAAGATGAAAATCTACTACAACTAACTTTCTTGGTTGTCAATCTAATGTTTGGTCCTTTACCAACAAACAAATAAATACATGAACTAAAACAACACTTTACTAATATCAATCTAATTATATGCTTAAAGTAGGCATAATACATGCAAATGCCTACCATTTCATTAATAAATAGTCTGCATTACAACAATGTGGCCAATTTGATGGACAAGTTTTCAACCTACCAATCAACTACAAACACGTATGAAGTCAAATCCATGTCTATATTTAGATAATTTATTTATGTTGGTGACACTTTCATAATGATGCATATGAAACATAGCATGTAATTTTATGCAACAAAATGCATCTTATTATAAAATAATTTATGGCACATATAATTATTGTTAATATTGTTATTACGATCTAAATAAGAAAATAAGATTTTATTCCACTAATCAATTTAAAATCCTAAATCTTAAAAAGTTTTGAAGAAATTATAACAAAGATAATTTCTAATAAAACTTGATTTTTCTATTGCAATTAATAAATCTAAATAACAACCAACTCTTCCTTTTTTTTTGGCTCCACTTATTAAAATTAGAATTTTTTCATGGATGATTTTATGATTCTTTGTCACAGGTTGAACCTAAAAAGATGTTACTTTACTATCTAGTTGTAGATATTTAAGAACATACTACAAATGTTCTTTATGATAAAATATTTATTTGCTACAATTATTTTTATTCTTGAATTACATGTCCTTGACTTGCTTTAATAAAACAGTTCGAATACAACAACCCCCCCTCAAAAAAAAGAAAAAAAAAAACAAAACAAAACAAAACAACACCTTTTAAGAAACGATGGACCCAATTTAGAGAGTTGCAAGCCAACTCGATCACCCCACTGCAATGGACGGCGCGGATGCTAGGAGACAAAGTAGATGAATGTCATCCATGAAGAAGGCGGGGAGAGGAGGCCAAACATTCGTCGGGGCGATGAAATCCGGGGGGGGGCACTTCCAGCACCTTCTTCATCTTCGGCTCTTCCTCGCATTGATGGTGATGAGCCTCTCGCTCCTGCTCGCTCCACTGGAGGCTTAAGTCTCCTTCCTGGTGCCGCATCCCGAAATTCGACAGCCTTCCCTGTTCTGTTCTGTTCAGTTCAGTTCGTGCTTCTATCTCCGCTCGAGTCTGTGGTCGTGCTCTGGAGCATTCTTCCCCGTGGTTACACCCCTCGCAACATTCAAGATCTCTACTGGTCGCTCTTCTAAGTCTGGTTCTGGTTCAACTTGGGGAATATTTTGTGGGTTTTCCGGTCGCGGTGTCCTTCATTTTCTCGCAATTCCGCCGCATTCCAAAGGTTTTGCGGTAGGTTTTTCTGAGTGCGGGTTTATTAGACCGCCAGGAAATTTGCAGCGTAGTGGACTTTGCGGATAAAGTGGAGTGAGATGGCGATTTCCGTGGGAGCTGCGACGCGGAATTTGGCCAATGTACAACAATTGCAGCGAATGCCCTCTCCCTCCTCATGCAATTCGCTCTCTGTACACCGGGTGTTCTGCGCCCAGCCGTGCAGGTATTTATTCATAAGGGTTCGCTAATGTGGCCGTTATAATGAATAATGTGTAAGGATGCGGAGACTTCGTCGGGGACTTTAGTGGTAGGGTTTACTAGCCGCCCAACTGGATGTGAACCATGTGTAGGTTTGTCACGCATGTCATTCAGTTAATCTATTGTAGAAGCGAATGCTCTCAGCGGTTTACTTTGGTCAGTGGAGGCTTGTTTTGTCAAAGAGGTTGTTTACTGTGTGCACTCCTCCTTTACATTAGTTCTTCATTTTTTTATTTCTTTTTCTGTATAATTGAATTGGACAATTAATGGGACGGTCTTTTCACACACAATACGTATTTCTTAAACTAGCGTAGCAATTCGCTCTAATTCAGCTGGTTGCTGCCACTTTCCGAGATTTTTTCTTGCTCCTTGTTACCAATCATGAAGAATACAGTCTGCAAACATACGCTGGTTGAAAGTTTCTCCATTTTGGGGACCCTTATTGGTTTTTATACCTTGTCTTTAAAGTATTATAGACACAAGAGGATTGATTTCTGGCTATAGGTTGGCTGATCAATATCATGATTACATGAAACATCATTTTTCTCCCATGGAAAATTGGTGTTTCCTTGGTAGACATTGCTGCCCAGTGTTGTAAGCGGATGCCAGGAAACCTTGGAATTCCAACTCGAGGATAGAGGAATTTATGAAGTTTTCAGGTAGAATTTGTCTGATGTGTAGTAACCTTGAATTTATGAAACTTCTCGCAGGATTGTCCATGGGTTGGTTTGTGGTTATTCATCAAGCACATTCTTTGCCTCAGAAACGTCTTTCTCTTTCGTTGCTCGTCCAACGCGAAAGAATCACCAGCTGCGAAATGGAAGTTTTGTAGTTCGTGCTGATGCTGTAAGTACTTCTTGCTTATACTCCTCGCAACGCATTAATGAGATAGTACACATTTAATGCCCTCGAAACTCGAAGATCAACCTTGTCACTTGCAGCTGTCCTTGTTGGGAAGGTTTTGAGAACAAGAGAAAGACTTTAGGAATGATCTCTTGCACAGTTTGTCTTAGAGCTTTTGGCAGTCATCAATTTTCAGGAGGTTAAGAGTAGGTGTTTCCAAGCTGAGACAGTGAGACGTTCAGTAAAGGCAACAATCTACATCTTATAGGCATACTGGTGATCCCAAAGTCTTGCAACTTGCTTCTATTTATACATACAAATTATTGTCGAAGTACATGTATCATACTTGTATATCATTGACATCAATTCGCTGTTTGTCCTTAGGACTACTACGCAACACTTGGAGTGGGCAAAAATGCTGATAAATCGGAGATCAAAAGTGGTATGCAATTAATAGATCTGTTCACCTCTCACTTTTCTAATGCGCTCTGGACTGCTACGTTGACAATGAGATTGATAGCACGTTACCCTTGCTTTTGTGTAATGGATGATTCTGTTTGTGGTGATTTGACAGTAAAACTTTCTCGTTAGTCAATATCTGCGCTGCTGCACTCCATGTGCTGAATTCTGAAGTCTTTCTTGCACCAGAGTACGCATGAAATCACTCTAATGCCGAGACAAAACAGGCGTTTGAGCTAGTGTTAGTAACAAGAAAGTACATTGGCTTCCAGTCGTTACTGTAGATTTTACATGGTGATTTGTATCAGTTCCCTGGTCACATTTACGTTCACAATATCTATGTATATATACATAGATTACACAAAATCTATGTATATATACATAGATTTCGATCGTTGTCTAGTTTTGGTAGTCGGTGCATGGTCTGCTTGGAAAGATTACCAGGGCACAATACGAGTTACGAAGCTGTCAATTGTATTGTTTCTCCTTGTTGAAAATGGTAGATCCATTTCCAAAATTACACAATTGAGCGTAGTGATGTTTTTATTGGCTCGGTGCTGATGTGTTTGGTGTCTGCAGCTTATCGGAAACTTGCAAGGCAATACCATCCAGATGTAAACAAGTAAGTTCCGATTGCATCATTGCTTTGCTTTAATTTACACGTGACTGCTGAATTTCCAAAGTTATTCCTGTTAGATCTAGGAAACAGACACGCATGTGGGTAAATGGTAATTTAACTTGATGCTTGTTTTTGTCAATAGAGAACCTGGAGCGGAACAGAAGTTTAAAGATATCAGTAACGCGTATGAGGTACATACAGCATGTAAATTTTATGCCAAAACAAGTTAATAGCATCATCTTTAGTCTTTTTAAAGCGGTATTTTTTCCTGATAGTGAAGAGTTAGTGAACAGAGTGCAGTATTCCATCTCTGCCATGAATTTCTTCCGAATTGTATGTGCACTTTTCAAAGGTGGTGGCGCTAAGAGTCTTCATACTTTGCAGGTCCTCTCTGACGATGAGAAGCGATCAATTTATGATCGATTCGGTGAAGCTGGACTCAAAGGCGCTGGAGGCGCCGGAGGGGCAGCGGTAAGTTACCTCTTACATATCGTAGTAGAGTAAAAAAAAATCTAGCTTTAATTTGAGTTCTTCGTTATCCGTTTTACCATTTGGGTTGTCAATTTTTGAAACTTCTGTGTTTGTATTGCCTGGTGTAGGGTTTCAATAATCCTTTCGACCTTTTTGAGACTTTCTTTGGAGGCATGGGCGGTAGAAGCTCCGGCCAGGCTCGAAACAGGCCTGTACAGGGTGATGATGAGCGCTACGACCTACTTCTGGATTTTAAAGAAGCTGTTTTTGGCGTAGAAAAAGATATAGACGTAACAAGACTCGAAAGCTGCAGCACTTGTAGTGGTTCTGGAGCAAAACCGGGTACCACACCCACTACGTGTAGCACCTGTGGAGGTCAAGGACAAGTGATGACAACTGCCCAAACTCCTCTAGGAATGTTTCAGCAGGTGAGCAGTTGTTAAGGGTTGTGTGTCAACCTGGAATGTTCTTTTAGTTTTAATTCAATATACCATAGTCATGTAGTTTCAGGTGATTGATGTATTATTTGGAGGGGTTATAGATACTGATGGAGTTTCACGACACTTTTTTCTTCTACTTTGTCCTATTGTCTAGTCAGCCACACATAGAACCTTCTGCAAATTTCATTATTTCACTTAATTCCTTTTTGAAGATCTCCCAACGCATAGTCATTTCATGGTCTTTGTGACATGGGTCACTCTTGGGATTGTAATTGTACAGGTGTCAACATGCCCAACATGTAAGGGCTCTGGAGAGATGTCGACACCATGTTCGACATGTTCAGGCGATGGACGAGTCAGAAAAAGCAAACGTATAAGCTTGAAGGTACCCGCTGGTGTTGATTCAGGCAGCAGGCTCCGAGTGCGATCTGAAGGTAATGCCGGGCGTAAGGGTGGTCCCCCTGGCGATCTTTACGTCTTTATCAACGTTAAGTCAGACCCTGAGTTGAAGAGAGATGGTAACAACATATACGTCTCAGTTAAGATTTCATATATAGGTGCAATACTAGGAACAACTGTGAAAGTGCCGACAGTAGATGGTTTCGTAGACTTAAAAATCCCCGCGGGCACGCAACCTGGAAGCACGTTGGTTATGGCTAAAAGGGGCGTTCCATTGTTGGGCAAATCGAATTTGCGAGGTGATGAGCTAGTGAAGGTTCAAGTTGAGATTCCCAAGAAACTAAGTTCGGAGGAAAGAAAGCTCATTGAGGAGCTTGCAGAGGTGTCAAAACCTAAAGCTGGCAGTTCCAGGTGATTCCTATGGAGAGCATCTCAGATAGATGAGGTAGGCTGTAGTAATGGAATATTTTGTAGTCTGAACATTGAGGTAGGTATTGAAGATTACAGGAAGTTCAATATCGCAGAACAACCTATGTAACATAGGTTTTTTATGTGCTCCAACTACATGTGTTGAGTTTTTCCAGTCAACAAAGATCATTTAGTATTTCAGTATCACCATTTAAACTTATCCACTCAATTGGTGATGTCGTCTGTGTCCTTGCCTCGAGTATTCACAATTTATTCGCAGTTTCTTAGTGCTCTGTTCTTTTCGTATTTCATAATCTTCCTTTCAACTCTTTCGGTGTAGTTACTGTTAAAAACATGGGATGGTGATGTAAGTCTGCACTTTATCTCCTTCCGAAAGCTCGAGTTGTGTTCAGCAACTGTCTCAGGGATTAGCATGGCATTGACAATCGTGAATTAGCCTTATCATATTAATTGTTTTGAGAATGGCTTTGAAATGACAAGCCGAAAAGTTGTCCATGAGACATGTCTTTCACTGTTTTTTCAACGCTAATTATTCCGCATCTAAAGCCGCAAACTGTTTTATATATAAACAATCCATGTGTTTTGGATGAATTTTTTGATGATGTTTTGTAAGTTACTCTTAGGTCAAGAAGATAAAACGTTTTGTTCCTTGTTATTTTTTATTAGAAGATTTTAAATAGCATCCTCAATAATAGATAATAATCTGAAATTGTTTATGCAAAGAACTCCAATTGACCCAAAAGAATCTAGCATGTTAGTTTATTTTTAAACTGTCATTCCAATTGGTTTAGTTTCAGATTTTGAAATTAACTTAATACTTTCTGAAATATAGGTTTTAATAATAATCTTATTTATCTATTTATCCAACTAAGTTTTGTAAATAATTTTATTATAACATATATAAATATATATATATATATATATATATATATGTACCTTGTAGATTTAGACTATAGTAATGCTTTTAAATTGTATTTGGAATAGAATATATTTTTGTAGAATAATTCTATTTTAAAAAGAAATAAATACCATTTTTTGCAATTCCCGTGCAAAGATTCTTCTTTTTGCTCCTATGCCAACTACTCTCCAATTGTCACTTATTAAAATCATACTAAATTGATATTATTTGAATTTATTAATATACAAAATCTTTTGAATAGAATATCTTGAGGTTAGTTTTATTCTATAATGTACTTATCAAATATCATAAACCAAGGCAAAAGATCCTCTAAGCTCTAACACTTTCTAAAAAAGAAGATAAAGAGGTGTATATTAAGTAGCCAAATGCCTTGTTATCTAATTAGTGAGGAAGATGAATGAATTAACAAGATTCTCATTGTCTCTTTGAATAACACATTATTCAAAGTTTATTCATTTACTTCTATTTATAACCATCTTCAATTAATATAGTTGATTCTTACAACAAGTTATAATTCTAGCATGTATACCCAACACCTTATAAATTTAGAAATTCACAAAAAATAAATCAAGAAGTATTAAAATTTAAATTTAAAGATCTTATTTAGTAAAAACACACAATTGAATCAAGGATTTATTGCTAATTAAAGATTTTAAAGCACACATAAATTATTTTGAAGGTAGATAGAGAATAAAATATATTCTATGGCAATATTAGTAGGTACTATGATTAAACAATATTTAGTGTATAATAGTTCTAAAAATTGCTAATATTCTTAGGATACAAATATTTTAATACCATCCAATGATCTTTTCAAATAGAAGATTAGGAGTTCAACCTACTAACTTGGGAATAAATTCCCAAGTGTATTTCCTATAATATCATTGTTCTATTCTCACAGTATGCTATGTTATTTTCTTTTTGTAATATTTTTACCACTTAAAAAGTTTAGTGTATATTTTTATCTAGCATAACAATGTATTTTTTTGTTTCTTAAATATCATTTTAAAAGTACTTTTTAAAATCTAATGAATGACAATTTTAATCTATATTGCCAATTTCAATATCTTCTTATATTGGTTTTATTTGAAGGCACAAAAACATGTGGATAGAAGGATTCTCAAAAACATGTTATTATCAATCAAGATAATAGAATAATTTGAATTTATTACTCTCCACAATATCAAAAATTTGATAACAAATATATCCTTACTTCCTTTTTTATCAATTACTTCATTTTTTTAATCAATAGTTGTTATTATAATTCTCCAAAGCCTATTTTATTGTTTCTGTATGTCACGTATTGATTTGAATTTTTTTTTAATTTGATTTAATTTTCAAATTTTCTGCATGTTCTAATACTTGAATACTTGAATGATGTTACAAAAGAAATACACAAAAATCTAGATAATAATTGTAAACTACACTAGTAGCCATGTGGATATTCAACTAATTCATTTCATAACACTGAATTTGTTCACTCATTTGTAGCATGCTCAATCAACAGTTATTAACCGAGAACTTCTAACCATGTAGTTTATACTAACGTTAGCAGACTGCAAATCCGAACTTCAGAGCCTTCTGTTTTTTCTTCTTTAGTTAATGTTATTTATTTTATTCAATCAATATTATCAACACCATACATTTTTTAATGTACGTGTTGGCAACACCAGTGTCTCTCACAGAAAAAAATAAAAAGTAACAATAACAATTCTCACGTGATATTCATCTTTCCACAGTCAGGGTATAATTTGAAACGTGCCTTTACTGCAAGTGCAGGGTCATGCTTTTCTCAACCTGTGCAAATGCTCCTTTGAGACAATAAAAGATCAGGAAGCATGAGACACACAAGCAAGCGAGAGATGGAAGTGACAATCAGAGGCCGGATTCTAGTATCAGAAAGTGTAGCTGGCGGCGTTACAGTTTGTCCATCACCTAGTTTAGCTCCGACATGAAACAACTCAGTTGCTACAACTCCTGGAACTTGATCACAATGCAGGAGATATCATCTTCACAGTAGCGCCGCCGCGCCTCCACCACAAGCTCATGTGCAGCCTTGACAGGGTCCTGGCATCGTCGCACTCGGTCCACCACTTCCTGGTTGTCATACATGGAGAACAAGCCGTTGCTTCCCAACACTAGAAACTCACACGACAAGTCCACCACTACATCGGCAACATCTAGCTTCGAGCTCATGTGCTCCTTCAGTTCCTTGTCACCGAATGCTCGTGTGAGCGCTAGCAGTCCGTCCACTCGCCATTGATCACCTGGCAAACAGAAATGCAAGAGATGAGAGATTGAGGAGCGGTAACAGATAGTGGAGGTGATTCAATGTGGACGAAAAGAGAAGCTGATGATACTAGAAAGGTGGGTTTTACCAGGAAGGTGTGTGACGTGGCCGCCGCGAGCTTCGACAATGGCGCGTTCAGTGGGGCGGCCTGGGTCGTGGTCCACGGAGAGCTGCATTGGTTCGCCGTTTTTGGATAACACCGCACGGGAGTCGCCCAAATTGGCCACGATCAAGCGGCTGCCCTTCCCGTACACCATGGCTGTCACAGCCGTGCTGCCGCCTTTCTCTAGTGGTGAGGCCAACATGTCGCGGTCCGTGAGAAGGTATGCGTCGCGGGTAGCGCCTGCGGGGTCTGATTGCACACCGCCCTCGTTCAGGATGTTGTCGAAGAGGTGGTCCTGCAAATATTTCGCTGCAGCGTCGCCGTTGTGGGCATCGAAGATACCGAAGAACGCCACCTAGATCATACACAAAGGGTTCAATCACAATACACAAAAATGGGGCATCGTCATTCTTGAGCTCACAGCACATATTGTCAAGTATGACGAGTATTGTGATGGGGATTGAAGGTGAGCTCTAACCTCCTCTTCATTGATAGTTCGCACTTCGGCGACATGTAAGTCTTCCATGGGTCGGCCAGATAGCCCTTGCAGGAGACAATACCCCCACACCACTTGAGGCTGTAGCTCCTGGCTCTGTCCACCACCGTAAGTGGCTTCCTCCGACGAGGTGGGACTCGCTGTGCCATCCCCTCGGCTAACTGCTTGATGCGATGCCACGCTCACTCGAACTTTGCCTTGCTCACCAATACCACCCCCGGATGGCTTCGGCGTAGCGGTAGTCTTTCCCCATCCAGTGTTAGGTGTCAGCAAAAGCTCGGTAACTGTATTCGCCATCCTATCTTTACCTACAATGTCTCTTCCTCGTCTCTTGCCTCTCAAATCGATCAAAAACCTAACTCTTCACCCAAAATTTGTACAGGTTTTTTTGTTTATAATCAACAGGAAACGCCAATCGAGCCACGATCGACTTCAACTACAGCTTTACAATACCTTAGCAAACCTCTATGTTACACAAATTCTTGCTAATTGGTACACGATTTCAGATCTATTGAATGAATCGATCCTGCAGCATGCGATCGCCCACTGAATAACTTTCAAATCACAAGAAATCTACTGCAGTCGATGATCTACAGATTCTTCAATATGCCACCGCCGGTCAACTTCGTCTTGTATGGAGAACACCGCATACAGATTCAACCGTGGTCCGTCTTCTGATAGGCTTTGTGACTCAAAAGCATTGCTAATCTGGACCTCTGACGTGATCAGAAATGAATCTGTCCACCTGCTCAACAAGCTCTCCCATCCTGCGTGGCAGGATTCTAATTACAACCCACTTGTCGACACCGGAGGACGCCACGTCGATATCATGGGAGAATCTCGGTAAATAAGCTGCCAAGTGTGCAGGAGGTTAAATCTTAGTCCCAGGTTTGGTCGAGGTCCGAAAATTGTTGTGCCGGTGATCCAGAAGAGTCTCTCTGATCTGCAGATAGTATCCATTTAGAGAATCGAGACAAGGAGGCTGTGAACAATTAAGTGCCACCAGGACTCCATGATATTATCCAAAATCATACAAACCTATCATGTAGAAGACGTGCGCAAGGAATCCAAAATTGGGTTTAGAAGTTCGAGGGTGCCGAAAGCGTTTTTAACTGGGATAAGAATTAAACATTGTTGAAGTTTATCAACACACAATCAATAGATGCTGCGAACTGTTGTAAGTATGCATCAGAGGTGGAATTTTATATAAATTCTTCATACAATGTCTTCCTTGAGCAACGCAGCATTCACAACTATATGAGAGCGACCCATTAATTGAGCATTAGTCCTCAAGAGACAGATTGCAATTGAGTTGTAGACCTGAATTTGAACTGTTGGAGACTGAATTTCTAGCCGCGTCTATACAATTAATTTCACCTAGAAGACTTAGCTATTGATTTAACTAGAAATGGGGAACTACATAAGCGGTGCTCTGCTCTAACAGCTTTACACTACGAATGCCAGAGAGGTTTTTGACACGACAGAAGCTTATCTTTGCCGAAGGGACCACTCTCTGTCTCTAGAATTCGAGTCTTCCATCGCACAGATTTGGCCAATGCCTCCACACGGTAGACCATATCGTTGGTCTCCCGCACTAGCACCCAGCCACCAGGTCGCAGAATGCGGTCCATTTCCAGCACTATGTGAGCGATGTTACACCTGGATAAAGAAATATAAAAGACGTAGAACATGAGACTCTTGTCATGGCTTTTAAACTTTCAAGTCTGGCTTTCCAAGCGAAATAGCCACAAGGAGTCCATTTAATCAAACGTCGACCAAAGAATAGGTGGTAGAAATGACCTTTTATCTTCTTGAGTTAAGAGCCCAACAGCATGCAACAGATCATAAGTCCTTGGATACGTGTCAAAAGGCTCGCACCTGAAATGTAGTAAATAAAGCTCAGGTGAAGTTCTATTGCGAATTGCTGAACATTCACAAAGCAAAGATGAAATTTTGGGAATCGACTTTGCTTTGTTTGCCACCGTAGTGACTGGGCACGGTAACCACACCAACAGAAGAAAAATTCCTGCACCATGGGGAAATAGAGATAGCGAAATCACCAATCGTGTGAAACGCCAATAAGTCCCCGATCGAAGATAACTGGCAAAGTATTTTGTCCACTGATGGGAACAACATTCATGACCCACCAGTCCACTTTCTGGTCCACCAATCCTGCTGCAAATCTGCATAGACAGTAACAGGTCATAAAGCTTCTTCCTGAGCGTAAGGTTGAATATAAAAATAAACAAATAAATAAATAACTACGAAGACAAATGTTCCATCAAGAAATTTTAAGTAGCCCAATGTCTGCTCGCTTATCAGAATATTTAAGATCCATACCCTCCATACATAGCTCGCATGTCCATTATATTCCGGAAATCTTCTTTGTGAAGACCCAAACCTCGAAGGTACCCCTCCACCACAACATGCCAATATCTCTGATCTGATTTGAAAACGTAGGATCTTGCTTGTGTAGCATCCATGACAATGGTCTCAAGTCTGCGAGGAGGAGTTGATAATCTGGCGGGCCATTCGGGAAGATCCCCACCGAGTCCATTTTCAGGAAGCAGAGTTAAGCAAGATTGCAGCGAAACATACCTACAAAGCGTAAGCAATCGTTGAGTAATAGTACGAGTGTGACTAAAAACTAAATTCATAGTTACAATCAATGTAACACTGAAATATTTTCCTGGTTTCACTATTTCATTAAGTTCCAAGGCGCTCCTAAATTAATAGGCCACGTCATACTCTAAATACTTTTATGTCAAAGTACTCGCAGCACCAAGCTTACCAGGTTTCGTCAGGATTAACACTTGGATCACACAGCACGTCCGATGACCGACTCTTTAAGCAAGAATGATTCAAAGGCTTGCGCCAGATGCCAACTTGCCCATCTTTTCCAACTTGCTCCCAACACAGGTGTTTTGCCAGATCCTCCATTTCTGAAATATTACGAAGACACTTGAATGTAATTGTTCTAGAGAACAGAGGCATGGAAATTTAGAAGTAATACATAGAACAGCGTGCAGAGTGGCCAGACTGAGTACCTCTCCACACATTTTCCTGGTGCTCTTGGGGCGACCACACAAAGTACGCACCAGCTCTGAGCACGCGGTCTACCTCTATAAGCAAAATACCATCTGATTGCACCAGTATCCAAACCACTTACAGATGTTCAGGCTCCTAAAGACAACCAGATCATCCCTGACAAATTGTCTAAGTTTGGGACAAGCTAGTAGAATTTCCATTGAAAGCCACTCAGTTCTGTACCAATTATGATCACAGAAATTATAGCTGAAATAAGGAAATAGTTTAATTTTCTTATTAATTTAAATGACATTAATGTATTGGTTCGTATTCCCTGCTCGTAAGAAACAAGTCAAATAGAAGATATTATACCATCACGATTCCAATTAATTTGACAGCCGGAACAATGGATTAGATCAAAAGCTTGGCTCGGAAAAAGAAGCCGGCGTGTTGCCAGAACAGCAACTAGAGCTGGTACACCACGTTCCAGCGCAAACTGGCTTTCATGGCCATCTTTTGGGGCTATAGAGAGGGTAATTACATCACGATCAAACAAGTAGGCTCCGAAGCTGGCTACACCACAGCCGATATCAAGAGCAACACGTGTCCGGCGCCCATAGCCGATGGTGGGTAGCATCTGCACCAGAATCTCCATATTGTGATCATGGGAGGAATTTGCAAAACCAAGAATAGTTGCTGTAAAATTCCTTTCTGAGCACCAGACAAATGTATTTATTGGCTACTTACTTCACTGATATGGTCCAGGTATTGATGAACTCTATTTTCAGATTGAATGTCACCGCTAGGAAATCGAATCCTGTCCTTGTCAAGTTTGATCCAGTTCTCTCCACTCTTGTCAGCCAGTAGCTGCGCATGTGGAACATTGTTGTACCAAATCTGCACGTAGAATCGATCGATTAGGGTATCAAATTAGAGGCGAATATACTAACAATGAAAACTTCAAGTGTTGCAGGTATGTAAGCGCGAGGATGACTGACCTCACTGCTGCTTTTTGGCCATCTGATTGGGAGTTTGTAGTTAAGCGGTGCACCAATCAAACAGCACATGCTGCCTCTTCGGGGACAATGCCGCTCCCAGATTTCACCCCTTGTGTTCGATTTCAACTCGCTAATGCCGCCAGCATTATCAAGGCAGGGTATATAATCCTTCCACCCATGAGCACAGACATCAAAATTGTACGATTTGAAAGTTCTATTGCTTTCTAAGCTCGATAATGAAAAACGTTCTGAGACATCTCCAACATCCTGCAGCAGACAATCAATGGCATAAATTTCTCAGATGCATGGCAGTGTGAAATACTCTCTCAACATTACCTTCAAGCCTCAGAGCTAAAACGACCTCCAAACCTACTCAACATTCAAATGGATACAACAATTTGCAGGATCGCAAGTATGCCAGAAGTTTGAACCCTCAAGTTGCAAATGTTGAACCCTAATTTTAAAAACTCTGTGTGATAAAGTTACCAGGTACACTGCTGCTAACATCCCAGGTTTCCATTCATTCTTATCTAATCAATCCTCTCTGGGCATGTTAATCAAAACGTTTATACCTCACACCATTTCCAAAAAAACCAGAAAGCAACTGTATGAAGAGGATGAGCTACCACATCTAAGTCAACTTCAGCTTCATCGCCGAATGCGACAATGTCAGAAAGAAATCCTCCATTAGTGTCTAAAATCCCCAAGGATGCCAGTTTTCCATTGGTGAAATCTGCAACCGAAGAATAGTAACTCAAGTGGGATCAGAATTAGACACATTAAGTCCTCCCATATGAAGGTATTATCCATCCATCGACCATGTGACGCACAAAAATTCACCCAGTAGCCAGCAGCAACCTTATTCAAACCCAGGGGCTCGGCAATAGCACAATTGCAGGTGATAATCAGGAAGTTTCGGACATCGTCGTCCTGGAACTCACGCGTGATATGGATTCTTGATAGCTTTCGTGTAATGGTCTCACTCCGAAGCCGCTCACCATTTTCAATGTAAGCATAAGGATGACTTGCAGAAGGTTTGGTTCCAACCAGAAACAGAGCCACAAATGTAATCACAACCACCGAGCACTGCCGAGGCCGTATCCGCATCTCCATCTAAACCACAAGAATCGGCAGCATCAACTACCAATGCAGTCAAGCTGCAATTTGACACAACTCGAAACCCATCGTCAAACTCAAAACCGTAAAACACGCTGCAATAGAGTCCTAAGAGACCAAAAAAAAACTAACTTTCTACATTCAGAAAAAGAACGTAACCTTCAAAACCCACTACTCCAACCGTCTACCTCGTCAGCAACAAAGACAATGTCGAACTCTGTCAATTTAACTCCGAAAGAATCAATGGCGTACAGATCTTCTCTTATCAGCTTCAAAACAAAAAATTGCGAAATCCTACTTCTCTCGAACCCAATACCTGGGTAATCTGCAGACGGGTCCAAATTCCACTCATACACAGGTTGCAGAGAAGCACGTCCAACCTCTTACAATTCCCATGGTTTACTGCCTACAACGACAACAACGACTACGAACAACACCATTGACTGAATTCATTACAACAGTATCCTTATTTCGCAAAAAAAAAAAAAAAAAAAAAAAAGAAGAAGAAGAAGAAGAACCCAATCAATGCTGAAAATAACAACCACACTTCCCTGCAGCCATGAACCCTCTAAATGAGAAGAGAGCATCCCTCGTCCCACGACAAAAATCCGTCACCGAGAGGCTTCCAATTCACAATGAGAGAGGGAGGGAGGGAGGGAGGGAGAGCCCACGGCCCTGCTTGAACTCGCCTCGGGAATGCAGTCCCACGAGCTACATACAGCAGCAGCCTTTCATCAACGCAGCCGTGACGTCGGCGCCACGTAGGATAATTTGGGCTGCGCAGGTGGCGTCCGACGTGGACGGGGGATGTTCTTGGAGCCATGGGAGTTGATGGAAGGGGGAGCCATTTCTTGGTGATGGTTGAGCTTCTTGGTGAATTAGGGTTTAGTTCCCTTCCCATGCACAAAAAGCATGGCTCCTATTATAACATCTCTTCCTTATTCTTCTTAGGAATCTATGTATCATTCTTTCATATCACCTAATAAATTATGCTATCAAAGGATTGAATGTGTGTGTTTCCATTCATACTAGCATGCATGTTTTTTGGATTGAATGTATGTGTTTCCATTCATACTAGCATGCATGTTTTTTGGAGAGAAAAAAAATTATATATAAAAAAAATTATTAATTTGTTCCAAAATTTTATGATGATGGAAAAATGTTTTCTAACCTTCAAAAAATTCTTCATTACTAGTGTCAAGGATATAATTTCAAAAAACTAAAAGATAAATAAATTCTTTTATTACTCAAATATACTAAAAAATCACTCAAAGATGCTATAATATTAAACTAGAATGGCTAATACCAAAGATAAGTAGACTAAAAAACCTTGAAATAAGACTAAAGACTAGAAAGGTATTGATAAAAGTAAAGAAGGCTTTACTCTTGCTTCTATATATACTATCTAACTAGAAGCTATGAGGCCATGTTTTATAAGACCTCTAATATGTGTCCAATTTGCAAGACACATTTTATAACTTACTAGGCAAGTTTTCTATATGTGTACCATGTCGTCAGCTTGTACCACAAGCTATTCAAATGTACGATACATAGCTAACTTGTTGGCCAAGTTTTTAACCTATCAATCAACTAAAACATGTATAAAATCAAATATGCCTCTATGAAGCTTTGCCATAAGATAATATCAAATCTATCTATATTTATCTTCTATCTAGCATTTTTTATCTAGATAAATATATATGTCCATGATATTACCTCCCCTTTTAGAGACAAGTTCTATAAAGAGTAGTCATCATATATTGAGAAAGTCTAAGATGTGACAAAATATATTTGCCATATATTTTGATCTTTATTTCCTTCAAAAGTAATTAATAAGTTATCTTAGCCATCAATAGTATCTCATACTAGGGCAGAAAGACCACCTTGTTATTTTATCATTGTTGAGGCCTTTGTAATTCTTTCCAAATAAAACATTTGAAATATTGTCAAGAAATATTCATACTTCCAATAAATTCACCAAATATAAGGAGTCTCTTTTAAGGATATGGTACCAAACGCATTGTATCTTACTATCTATTTGAAGAAAAACATGTTATTTTTGAAGATCTTCATCTATATTATATCATCTTGAAGGCTGTGAAAATTGTAATGTCTTATCTTTTAAGTTGGAAAATAATAATTCTTAAGTTAAAGCTATTGGTTTTTGATTTTTCATCTCTTTTGTGCAATAAATATACAAAAATTCCAAGCAAGAATGGAAAGTAGAATGTTATTTTTTTTAGATCTTATTTCTTTTAAAGCAAAGATTTTCTATTCTTCATCTTGATTTTGATAGATGTCATCCAAAAAAGGCATCAACTTTTTTTTTTTATATTTTCAAGATTCTTTGTTGATTCCTATGTATATTTATTAATATCATATTCACACAATAAATAAGATATTTCAACCTATTTTGATGTCGCCTTAAGTCTAAGACTTCTTCTACCTCAAATACTTGATTATTATTTACTTCTAAAAAAGAAGTTGGCATTTGTCTTCTTCTTGAGATATTCACTAACTTATATGATTTAAGAAGAGACATTTGGAACATGAAATGGATCTATATAGACTTTGGTAGGTATAATTGATAAGCAACTAGATTGATTTATTTATAAATAGGAAATGGTTTAAACTTATGATAATCCAATTCATCATAAAGATAGTTAGTCTTGATATTATCGCAAAGTAACCATATCTTATTGCCAACATAGAATTGAAGTTGCTTCTTTCAATGGGCATCTACATTGGTCTTTTGTCATTCTTGAGTTTCTTTTAATTCTCCCTTCATTATTGTATATAACTCTAATAAATAATTTTTTAAATCTTTTGCCACATGATTATCAACTTTTATAAAGTCAAAAGTATCAAATTATAGATGATAACCATAATTAGCAAAGAAATATGTTTTTTATGTAGAAAAATGTATTGTGTTATTGTAAGCAATTTTTTCCAATACCAAATGAATTGTTCAATTATATTGTTGGTAGTTAATAGTACACCTCAAATATTACTTCAAATTTTAGTTATGTACTTTATTTGTCCATTGATTTGAGAATAAAAAGTCAAAGATAACTTTATTTCTACCTTTAGAATCCTAAAAAGAAGTTTTTAAAATCTTAATATAAATTGAATCTCCCTAACTAATATAATATACTTAGGCAGTCCATGATAGTAATAGATGTTATTAAAGAAAAGCTTGGATATTTTTTACTTGGAATAGAATTTGAATATGATACAAAATAAGCCATCTTGATAAAAACAATCTACTATTACTAATATAAAATCATAAGAATTTGAAAGAAAAAGATTCTTGATAAAATCCACAAAAACAAAAGACTATGGTTGTTTTGAAATAAATAATAGCTGAAGAAGTCTATAAAATCAATGATAAGGAATTTTTTATCTTAAAAAAATATTATATAATTAAAAAAGTCTTTGACTACCATCCATATTTGAGGCCACCAAAAAAAATAGATTTTAATTTTAAAATCTTGTTGTATCCAAAATGTCTAGTTGCAAGAAAGTCATGATGATCTTGAAGAATACGTAATTGTGTTTTGTCTTTTGGAATATATGATCACCTCTTGAAATAGAATAGATTATTCTTCAACTTGAATTTAGAAGCATTTTGAGACTTAAAAGAATAATTTTTAATATCATGAATAAGAGTATCAAAGGACATATTGTCAGAGATAAGAACTTGATGAAAGTAAATAAATAAGTATAACAAAATAGAAAAAAAGAAGTATGTATATTAAAAAAAAATTGAAATGGCTATTGCCAAAAAACAAGGAAACTAGAGACTCTTAAATCTAGACTAGAAGCAAGAAAGGAATTGACAAGAATGAAGAGGACTTCACTCTTGCCTCTATATATACTATCTAACTAAGAGCTACATGGCGATGTGCTATGACCTCTAATATGTCTTGACTTTGCAGGGCACATGCTTTATCTTACAAGATAAGTTTTCTATATATGCCCCACATAATTAACTTGTTCTTTAAGCTACTAACATATGTAGCACATGGCTAACTTATTGGCCACGTTTCTAATCTAAAAAGTCAATTATAGACACCTATAAAATCAAAGAAACATCTATAAAGCTTTTAAGAAGCTTCTATAGAAGTTATTAAGGAATTAATTTATTTTTATCTATTTTTATCTAATCATATAGATAATTATTGATTTATATGTATATGTCTATCATACATACATAATTGAACTTACTTAAAAAAAGTTGAATCAATAGTCTATATTGATTTCATTGCTTAAAGATGAAAATACTTTAATTTCAAGAAAATCATTTTTTGTTGATGAAAAGCTGCATTCTTTTCTTTAAATGTAAGATAAAAATGTCTAGAAAAGACATCTTATAGATCATATCATTTTTTAGGTTGATAAGTAAATTTTAAATCAAATCTTGATAAAAACATGCTCCAATTAGCTTAGTGATGATTTAAAATATATATTGATATAAAATACTTAAGATTCTTGTGAACCATTTATATAATGATTAGATTGAAAGTACCTTTTGGGTAATGATGATATTCTTAAAATGAATCTATAATTACAAGAAACTCTTTATTGTGGATCTTGTAATTAATCTTGAATATTAAAAATAACTTAGAATGGAAAGCTATTGAATGGAGCTTGTTATTTTCTCCTATTTGTGACAATATTGCATCTATAGTAAAATTTGATGTATTTGTTTTCATAAAAAATGTCTTAAAAAAATTGATGCAATACAAGATTGGTGCAAAAATAAATGATGTCTTTAAGGCTTCAAAAGATATTCTGGTTCTTTGTTCCACACAAGTTTGTCTTTATATGTCAAATGTATAAAATAAGTTATAATTTGAGAAAAAAATATAATGAAGATTTAATAATAATTAATAAATTTTAAAATAAATATTATATTTTTTATTATTTTAGAATCTTCCAATCTATGATAGTTTGGACTTTCTTAAGATCCATTAAAAGACCATCTTTTGAAATGATGAATCCTAAGAAGTCATCCTGAGTAGTGTGAAATATACACTTTTATATCTTATTATATAATCTTACACCTTTTAGTTTTTATAATATACAAAAAATAAAAAGTTTATATTCTTTTATATTCTTAGAATAGATTAAAATATCATCTAGATAATAGATGACAAAATTACCAAGAAATTTATAAAAGGCATCATTCATAAGATGTTGAAAAGAAATTGATGCATTTGTGAGTTCAAAAGGTGAAACATTATATTTAAAATATCCATACTTGATTCATAACATAGTTTTTTATTCATCTTTTTTTTTAATGCATATTAGATTATATATTCTTTGTAGATCTATTTTTAAATAGATCTTTGCTTCATTCAATTGATAAAGAAGAACTATAAGTTACGTATTTTTTATGGTGATCTTGTTGAATCTTTGATAGTCCACACACATTTATAAAGATCCATCTTTTTTCTTCACAAATAAGATAGGATATCTTATTGGAGATTTAAAATAGCATATTAAATTATTTTTCAAATTTTTGCCAATATATTCTTTGAATGCAACCAATTCATTCTTTGATAAGTTATAGATTGGTCCAAATGGTGTTCCTTAAAGATTAATGGAACAGTCATAAAGACAATGCTTTGGAAGAATATATTCATTTTTTTTCTCAAAAATATCTTAATAATCTTATTATTGGCTTAAAATATAATTTGAAGTATTTTTTCTATCAAAAATAGGTATGGCATACATAGAAAAAATTGATCCTTCTTTTGTAGCATGCATGAAAGTTCTAGTACTTATCAATAAGGATTTAGATATATTAGACTTATGGATTTTTACTTAATTAGCAAATTATATATATATAATTTAGTCTATTTAAGGATTATATTTTTTTAGCCATAATAATCCTAAAATAAATGGATCAAAAAGAGATCAAATTACATTAAATATTGTATTTCAAAGGCTTCTATTAAAGCTTCCTACTTTGAATTTGTGAACTTGATCTACTTACTCCTCTTAATTACACAACTTTTTGGCATAGACTCTGAACTTATTATTGATTTCTTCCATAGACGTAGAAATAGTATCTTTATGATTCATGTTAAAAATACATGAGATTTTGATCCTAAGAGTGTCGAAAAGCTTGCAAAGATTTTCAATAGTTGAAAAGCTATTCTTACTTTTGCCATGAATAATATCCATAATATTTTCTTCCATAGATGATTCAAGTATAAATTCATAAGTCAAATTAAAAGAAGTTAATCTACAATCTCTAACATCAAATGAAAATTTTTATAAATATGAATAGTCTACTCTCTTAAGAAAAACAATCAGTATTTAAAAAATTAAAAGTTAGTTTAAAAGTGACTAGTTTGCAATCTTTTAAATACATTAGTAGAAGTGAAATAATCCACTCACTTCTTAAACAAAATAAGAATAATAAAATAGCATTCTTTTTAAATTATCAAGGATATGAATCTCAAAGAACTAAAAGATCAATACATTCTTATGTCACTCAAATAGACTAAAAAAATCATTCAAAGATACTACAATATTAAGGAAGAATGACTATTGCCAAAAACAAGAAGACTAAAAAGTCTTGAAATAAGACTAAGGACTAAAAAGGCAATGATTAGAGTAAAGAATGCTTCATTCTTACCTCCATATATATCTAACTAAGAATTATACAATGATGTTTCATAAGACTTCCAATATGTGTCCAATTTGTAAGATATATGTCATAACTTGTAAGGCAAGTTTCCTACATACACACCACATTGTTAGCTTATACTACAAGTCATCCACATGTGCGACATATGGCTAACTTATTGGCCAAGTTTCTAATCTATATATATATATATATATATATAGTCAAATATGCATCTATGAAGTTTCGCCAGAAGATAAAATCAAATCTACCTATATTTACCTTCTATCTAGTGCTTCTTATTTAAATAAATATGTATTTTCATAATAGTTGGATTTACATTGTTCAATAATCAATAAAAAAAAATGGTTGGATTTTCAACCAATAATGATATGTAGATTGATTTAGTAAATACTTGGATCAATTTAATAATTTCTTATATATAATAAATATATAATTATTATTATAAAAATATGTGGTTTTAATATTGTTTTGATGTAGATTCTGATTTTGTGATTTATATAGCTCTATTCGGATTTTAATATTAATTTTCTTTTGTACAAAGAATCCATTCTTTTTATACAAGTCTTGATTATGCCAAGGGTTGATTATGAATGATGTTTGATATATGATGATGTGTTATAAAATTTCAAAAATAATTAAATTTTTTTATAATGTATATTTTTAATATAATTTTTTGTTAAAATATTTTTGTTATTTTGAATTTTAAAAAATTTATTTAAGAATTTGAACATACTTTTTTCTAATTAGATGCATAAAAATGTATTGATTTGGTCCTTAACAACATAGCACTATTGCCAAAATTATTAATCACAATGATATGCTGACTAGATTTGTGTTGCTTAAAAATTCTCTCAATTTAAATTTTTTCTTCAAATCACATAGTAAAATTTCATTGATTATTTTCATTCACCACTTACAAGGCAAAATTATCAAGAGATGAGAGTGCAACCATGAATTTTATGTTTTCTTTTTTCTTTTTTGTCATGCATATTTAAGTTTCAAACAAGAGCTTTAAAACTTCATAAAAAAATAAAAAAAAATAAAAAATAAAAAACTAATTAATGCTCTCTCAAGGAGTGCTTTCAAGGAAACTTATGAAGTAAAAAATATAGGAGTATATATTATAAAACCTATTTAAATAAAAAAATAAAAAAATTGAGATTTTTACACAACCATGAGATATTTCTGCAAAAACAAAAAGAAAAATCACAAAATTTCAATCAATCAAAGGATTTAAAAGTTGTAACCTTTTATATTTTTTCTTAAGTATGAATATTCCCATTATCTTCCATTTGATTGGAATTTTGAACAACTTTGACTAAGAAGTATAAATACATAATGTATCACTACTTGAATCTTTGATTTACTCAAAGTGATGCATTATTTATATAATTAAATATTTACAAATCCCTATAAAACTAACATATCATAAAGTTGCCAACAAAATTCTACAAAAAATATAGTATTAACTTGTGTAAAGATGGAAATGATTGGTCTAGATTGATATTAAAACATAAGAAGATGATAGATTTTATATTAGTTTGCTACATAGCACCAAAGATGTTGGCAATTCAAACCATGCTTGATAAACCCTTACACATGATTTATACTTACTATGTTAAAGAAGATATATATATATATATATATATATGAGAATGTTAAATAGACCCAGATTTTTACTAAATTGACATATCTATGATGAAGAATATGATAAATGTGATTGGGTTTTGTTGTGGTTCGATGATCAAGATGAATGTGATTGGGTTTTATTGTGGTTCGATGATCAAGATGAATGTGATTGGGTTTTATTGGTTTTGGATCCAATAGTAGATCTAGAGGTCATTTTCTTTTTTCATGATGGTTAAGATGGATGGGTCAATTTAATAAAAACTTGGGTCTATTTGGATTTAGATGCCTGTGCAAATGTGAATGAGGGTCACCACACACTTTCTCCTCTCACCCGATCTAGTAACAACAGAACAGGCTCCTTAGCAACCAAATCCTCCACCCAATTTTATCCCACAAACACATCACAAATTTCGTTAGCTTTTTGGAACCACAATCCACTTTTCGTCTGTGTCGCATCTTCGACGAGCAGCCATGCAAACTCTGCCACAATCCCATTCGTCAAAATTCGGCCATTTGCTGCAAGAATTTTTTTTTAAACAATTTATGGGTATGTTTTATCCCATGTCAGTACGTTTGCTCATCGAACCACAATTGAAGCTTGCTGTGAAAAGGACCTACAAATCTTGTCCACACGTCGAGAGTCAATGTGAAGGGTTGCATACTTGCGTGTTTTGGTTTATTACTGCGGTGACGACGCAGAACATTTCAGCGACTAGACACCCACAGAGTCAAGGGATTTTTCCTTTTTGGGTCGTCCCCAGATGCATGGTCTGCGGGGTGTCTAATCTTAATTACGTTTTGAGTAAGAAGGATTAGTGGTTGCTTCGCCTTGGACCTCAAAAACGAGTGCAGCAGCTCCCCAGTTCTATCGTCTCACACAAGTCGCAGCTGTGGCGATGGCGTTCGCAACTCCTGCGCTCATGCAGCTGCGCTCTGCCCTCGCTCCCTCCACCTCACCTGTTATCTCCAATTCCGCCTCGTCCGCTTTGGACCGCTCTCTTCAACGATGCTTTGTGGGGTGGAATTCGCTTGCGAATCTTCATTCTAGGGGGACCAGAAAGATCTTAGTGCAGAGAGGTGCTGAGAGGAGGAGTGCCGTGAGACGAGGCTCCTTGAGTTGTCGCGCTGGGTTAGAAGCCCTCGTGTTTGACTGCGATGGAGTGATTTTGGAGTCCGAGGACTTGCATCGCCGAGCTTACAATGCGGCCTTCCAAGAATTCCAAGTGCGGAGCCCTTCCTCGTCGCCTGAACCGCTTGTGTGGACCCCGGAGTTTTATGACGAGCTCCAGAATACGATTGGCGGAGGGAAGCCTAAAATGCGTTGGTGGGTCTCCTCTTTTCCTCTTAATTTTTTCTATTTTTCGTTATCCCTCTGGATCCTGATCACATTCCTTCTTTTGATGTGCTGATTGCAACCTCACTGGCACAACGTGCTCATCAAATACTTTGGTAAGAAAATATTCGGAGAGCCGGCACTTTGAAGCTGAGACGTGGGATGTGTACGAGATTTGAATGTAGTTTCGCCTGCCATTGACAGAATCGAATTCTACTTGTGAACTATTTTCAAATTAGTGAGAGAGTAGAAATTAAATATGTGGAAGATACATGGAGGAACGCCTGTTCGTAGTGTGATATTCTGCAGTATTATGGTGTGTCCCCAGGCAGTGGCAAGGGGTGTCTATGAATGAGTGTTCGTCTCCTACAACCAGTACGTCTGAAAACTATGTTCCACTCTCTGCTTTCAGAAAGTATAGAAATTATACTAGTGTTGACTTATACCTGACGTACCCGAATGAGGGAAATTCCTTCAATCGTCAGTTACAACGCTGGAAAGTGAATCTGGAAGGAACATCCTTAACGGCCATCGGCTTCAAGTACTATAAATCTTGCACTTGCTCGTACTCTTGTTCCTAGTACAACCCTATTACTCATTGACGTAGTAAGTTTTTCTCATAATTTATGTTGATAACCGTACAAAGGGTGAATTGAATACAGCACTAGTTGAGTTGGAGGTAATAAAGGTGCATTACAGGTACTTTAACAGACACGGATGGCCGACGTCTACCATCTTGCCAAACGCTCCGACCAACGAGGACGAGCAATCAAAATTAATCGACACTATCCAGGTACTTCATCACAGGGTTGTGCCTCTACCTGTGGAGCTATTCCATGTATTGTGGTGAACCACCGTTATAGCAATATATCTAGCTCTAGACTCTGTGGTAATTGGTGGTTGCTATATACGCAGGACTGGAAAACAGAGAAGTATAAGAACTTCATCGGCTCTGGAGATGTAAGTCAGTTTATGTTGCTTACTCCCTTTTCTGTACTCTATCGTTTGAGGGAATTACCTTTGTGAGACTTTAGTGATTGTGATGGAGCATTTTTCATTCTATCCCTTAACTAAGAAGTATTATTAATGTTTTCTAGGTGGAGCCAAGACCAGGAGTTTTGGAACTCATGGATGCAGCTCGGGAAAAGGTGCAGTGAACTGCTTTTCATGCCATATCTGAGTCGATTGCAGCTCGTGAATGATCATCACTGTATCTTTCAAATGTGTTTGCGTAGTTTTGTTCGTACACTTCTGTTCCTTAGACTTGTCACGGATTAACTAGGGTAAGTTGAACTTTACGTCAAGGCTCCATAGTACTCAACTTGTAAGTTAGTGAGTCAATCTCTTTCAATATGCACAAAACAGGAGGCATTTGAGTTGCAAGGCTCACAAGCTGGGCTGGAGAGTCTACATTTGGTAGGTATTCAAGTTTTCTTTCTGACAATGCAGGGACTTAAGGTGGCTGTATGCTCAGCTGCGACGAAAAGTTCAGTCGTCTTCACACTTTCTAATCTCCTTGGCAAGGTATCTTGAGGTGCAGTGGGGTTATATATAATGTGGAACAGCGAGTTGACTGTGTTACATAATTCTAGATACAATTGAGGAATGCTTACGCATTCCACTAGAAGGTTGATTGTATTCCATCTTGACTGAACTTCTCATCTCGTTGAGGTTTTGTAAGACTAAATGTTTTTCTTTTGGAATTTTTTTTGTGAAGAATTATTAAGCTGGATTTTACTAAGTACAATATTGGTAACCCATGCAGGAGAGATTTGAAGGTCTGGACTGTTTTCTGGCTGGTATGCAATAAGCTTTACTTATCTACCTTGAGTTCCAGCATTACAGTTTCTCGTGAAGTATTACGTCTGACTCGAGAGCGAGGTTGAGGCTCTTGTTGCCTTAAGAGAGTAGCTTGCACCATCTGTAGAGGTGGAAAATGTTCATTTGGTCTGGCTGAATGAGTGGTGACTTTTCTTGGCTCATACAGGTGATGATGTGAACAAGAAGAAGCCTGACCCAACAATTTACAAAAAAGCTTCTGAGGTGAGATTTGAACACTTTCATCCAGATTTTATAGTGTAGACTTCACATCTGGGACAATACAGTCAATCCCTCCATTCTTCGTCGTCATTTTCTAATCTGGAGTGCTTACACAATGTGCCGAAGCTCTCGAAGAATTTCATCGTATGATTTTCATGTAATTTTCATTTTTATGGAATTTCCTCTCTGGAGAACTCCACAACCACTTTCATTACAGTGATTTGGAAAGTTGTAAATCTACTCCAAGTCGATGAACATTTAGTTATTACACAGGTCGGGTTCAACTAATTGGAGTCTTTTTACCAATATGCAGATTTTAAAGGTGGCACCTGAAAATTGCTTGGTGGTGGAAGACAGTATTATCGGCTTACAGGTTTTTCGCGAAACACTTGTCTTGACCAATACTTTTCGTTACGATATCATATAACTATGCTCTCAGATTCATGGAAACAGTCTGTCATTGAACACCAATTCAACAGTTACTATCAGTATGAGTTTGGTTTTTAGTGAAATTGCAAGTGCTAGTTGGTTCGGTAAGAAGCGATGTATGTTTACCAAAATTTCAATATTAAATACGAATTGGTACTCTTTGATAGGCCGCCTCAGGAGCCGACATGGCTTGTATCATCTCGTATACATCGTCCACAAGTAATCAGGTGCTTTGATACCCTCATGACTGTTCTCATACTTTTTCTGTAGCTGTGCTTATCTGGGCAAGCCACATCATGCCAATTAGCGTCGCTTACGTCGAATGAAGTGACGCATCAAGGTAGTGAAGGCATGCATGCCGCCTACAGAGATCTGATATTTGTTCATAACTGGTGTGCAGGATTTCTCTGTTGCTAAAGCTGTGTATCCTAACCTGGGATCAGTCAAGTATGAACTACTTTTTCATCTCTTTGAGCTTAAAGTTGTCCTCACAATACCCAATTTGTACATTTACACCAGGAACTAGTAGTTTGAGCTCATGCGCAAAAACATATTCTGTCAAATTGTAAGGTTTTTTGGTGCCTAATCTTAACATGACATGCCAATAATCTGATTTGATTTAACGGTGTTTGTGCTGTACAGGTTGGAAGATCTTCTAGAGCTCCTTGAAGGCACACCTGCCACCCTGTGAGGTTTCTTGTAGAACGTGCGCATGTTGATTACAAGCAACACACATCAGGTTCTTCACTGTACTACCATTTTTTCATCAATGTATTACTATTGAACTCGTACATTCTTTCTGGAGCTCATCTACGATCCTGCTATGGTGAAAATGATTGGGACATTGTAATATTGTCGTTTTACTGGCAACCGACATTACGCATCACATTCACGTTGGGATTGGTTTGTAACACCCAAATATCTTACCCATGATATATCGACGAACCGATGTTGAGTCATTGTAATACTCGTCTATTTTGGCTTTTGAGTGCCATTCAAACTATTCATCACCTGCGTGATCATATGAGAAGTGAAATAATTGAGTGTGAAACTGCTACTAACTTCACAAGTATTCAGCATGAAGGACTGGCGTCATTGATTTAGAGCTTCTGCATTGGCAACTCTTCCGCTGCTTTTGTTCTCAACCTTTAGTTGTATATTTCCTTGCAACCAGCAGGAAAAATCAACTTCTCTTAGACACTTTGAGCTGCAGAAGTAGATCAATTTATGTAACTTTTGGGTCGAGAATCTGTAGAGTCTTCAGCTACAGACATCATCAACAAGGAATTCTCCATTTTCTTGCACAGATAGAGAGGATATTCAGATGAAGAGCAAGTGAATTACAACTGATGTCGATTAAAATTCAGGAATTGAATGCGAATGAGACCAAAGATTTATGACATAGATGATAAATTTGCAGAATATGTTGGCCAACTCATAGCCCAGGGATTCTCATAACAAGATCTTAATTGCAACAAAAACTTCCTTTGGCCTTCATTCAAAGTAACATCCTTGTGCTTCTTCTTAGCCTTTGCAAATACTAGTTCTTTTCATGTCCACTTAGCTGTCATTACTAACATGTTCTACACAAACATATTTTTTAAAAGATTATGTACCAACATGTTAGTATTAAATAAAGTTACTTGTAATTATTACAATAACATGACTTAAATGGTGTATTTGAGATGTAATTTATTAAGGATAAAATACATGTGGTAATGTAATATTTCACTGCTTGTTACGTGGTCATAATGATCTTTGTAAGTCTTTTTCTCTGCCAAAAAGTTTTTACCACATTAAATGAAAAATCTCCAAAATTAAGTGTTTTTTGCACTGTAAAAGAATTATTATAATTTGCAATTTTGAATTGGTTTGAATATTTGGATACCTACATTAAAATAAAATAAAAAAACTGATGTTGCAATTTGTATACTATGGTTGTATTTAAAATAGTAGCTGTTATGTTTTAAGAACAATTACAAATTTAATAGTGTTTTGAAGACAGTTGTTTATCATAATATCTTTAAGAAGTAAATTAAACAAATCTTGATTTTAATTTTTAAATTTCAAGAGATATAAATTAAAAAAATCTAGATGTTGTAATTAAAAAATATGTGATCTTGGTTGAATGTATTGTGACATACATAAAAATATAAACATTTTCAAAAAAAAAAAAAAAATCATTAATAGAATAGTTTTTGATTTCATGTATGATATAACTAATTTAAATAATAAATTTATTCACCATTCTCTTGTCATTCATTTAAAGGGTTTGGTAAAATAAAAGATGCAAGTAAGTACTATGTTGTTATTTATTAATCACATATAATGCATTATCTATAGATGCAGATTGAAAAAATTTAGATTGAAAATATTAAAAGGCTTCAATATAAAAATGAAGATGTTGTTTTGCTATTGAAATAACTATTTTTTGTTTTTTCCATGTAATAATATTAGAACTACTTAGTTGAATAATGGAATTAGTTCATATGAGTATTAAAAAAAATACAAAATTGAATTTTTAAAGACAAATTAAAAAAGACTAATAAGACAAGAATATAAGACAATATATATTGTAGATATAATTGTATATGGACTTGGTAAAGACACACAATTTATATATAATTAAGAATAAAAATAAATATTTAAAAAGTATTTGTTTGTAATGTAGCAAGAAGTTATAATTACTAGTTGTAAGTAAAAAGAGGCCAATGAGTCAAAAATTACAACTAGAGTATAATACAAACATTTTTATCAAATTAAAAATAGCTATGATATTGTATCTATTTATATTAGTTAATAAGAATTTCATATAGAATTCATTAAAAGACACCAAGGCTTTTAGGACACATGTCAAAGAAATAGGATATTATTAAAATAATTTTTTAGATCTATAGAAGATCAACAAGAATTTTTCTATGGCCACATGGCAAATGTCATGGACATAATCTAGTAATTACATATAAAAATAGGTAGAAGTAAATAAAAATACATAAAAGTAAGTTAATTCTATAGTATTTAATATGGAAGCTTCCTAAAAGCTATATAGACGCTGCTTTGACTTCATAGGTGTCTTTAATTGACTTTTTGGATTAGAAACGTGGTCAACAAGTTGGCCATGTGCCACACAAGTTGTTAGCTTGAAGATCAAGCTAACTATATGGCCCACACATAGAAGAACTTGCCTTGTAAGTCAAGACATGTATCCTACAAAGTCAACACATATTGGAGGTCCTATAAAACGTCACCACGTAGCCCCTAGTTAGATAGTATATATAGAGACAAGAGTGAAGGCTTCTTCACTCTTCTCAACTCCTTTCTTGCTTCTAGTCTAGTTTCAAGGGTCTCTAGTTTTCTTGTCTTTTGGCAATAGCCATTCCAGTTTTTCTTTCAATATATATACTTCTTTATATATATTTTGTTACCTCTCTTTGAGTGAAGGCTCACTTGTTTGAATTATTTTTTCATCAAGTTCTTGTCCTTGACAGATTGACAAGAGTACACCTACAATATCAGAGCTTTGTCTAATCTTGATTAAGAGTGGATTACCCCTTTTTCTTGATAAGATATAAGCATATTAGAAGTTGCGGAATTCCTTCTTCTAAACTGATATTGTCCTTAGTATTTTCTTTGTTCTCAAATCCTCTCTTCTATTTGTCTTGAGTGATATTAGACATCTTCTCTCTTCTAAGTGTTATCATGGTAGAACTTGTTGAAATGAAGAGTGCAATGGCACAAATGCAAGAGCAATTGAGGGAGTTAATGCTTACAATGCATCAACTCAATTTACCACCACAAAGAGCAACAAGATTGGCAGGAAGTGAAGACATAGAAATGGTTGGAGCTGCTTCAACATCTGCACCAAACCATGTCATTTCTCCTATGGTGGAACGCCCTTCAAATGTTAGAGAACCAAGAATTGCCCTACCTGAGAATTTTGATGGCACCAGATCCAAGTTTCGAGGATTTATCAATCAAGTGCAACTTGTGATTGAACTTCAACCCCAAAGCTATCCAACTCCAGGATCACAAGTTAGATTCATTGATACGCTTCTTTCAGGTTCAGCACTATCGTGGTTTTCATCTTTTTTTGAACAACAAGATCCAATATTGGATAATCTAGAGGCTTTTTTGGCGGAGTTTCGATCTATGTATGGAAAACATGATGTAATTCATGTTGCAACCAATAAGATCCGTATTTTAAGAAAAGACAATCGATCAGTAACATTATATGCTTCACAATTTCGACAACTTGCAACTGATATCAAGTGGGATGATGCTGCACTTATTAGCCAATTTCTCTACGGATTACAATATGAGGTAAAAAAATTAATGCTCAACTTACTTGATCCTCAAACATTAAGTCAAGCAATTGACTTTGCTGTGAAGTACGACAATCGCCTTTTTGAATTTTGATCTGAGAACCGTACAAGTGAACCTCAACGTTACTATAATTCAATGGCAACACCAACACCTCTTCAATACATACATTCGAAAGTAGAAGATATGCAAATTGATGCAGTATGTTTCAAACCTCTTATTGAGCAAGAAAAGACTCGACGTCGTCAAGAAGGATTATATTTATATTGTGGAGAACCAAAGCACACTGCTCAACATTGTCCAAAGAAATGACACAATCACAAAATGAGGAATATGGTTGTGAAAGAAGACAATATGTCGAAAAAAGAGTTTGTCCAGCTACAATAGGGACCGTGCAGCTGGAACCTTGCACAACATCTAGTAAAGGTCCTATTCTCTCCTCAGAGCCCTCTCCTTGTTTTACATTAAATGTTATTTTAGGACCTAAACATTATAAAGTCTCTGCCTTGTTAGATTCAGGAGCCTCAGCGTGTTTTTTAGATGAAGAATTTACTAAAAGACATAGCATATCTTTAGTAAAGAAAACTAAACCTGTTCATGTAGAAGTCATAGATGGTCGTCCATTTATCTTTTGGAGATATTACTCACGAAATCCTTCCTATAGAAGTAATAATCAATGGTCATAATACTTTTGTAGTATTTAATATCATTAGATCTCTCTCTAATCCAGTCATTTTAGATTTATCGTGGTTAGAAAAATACAACCCTGAAATAGATTGGATTTCCCGAACTCTTACTTTCTCTAAAATTATAACTAACAGTGTAGTTAATCAAGTAGAGAGTCATAAGTCCAGTTCAATTAAACCCGTATTTATAGGTATAAAAGCTTTCTTGCATGCTGCTATGAAAAAATCACCATATATTATTTATGCCACACCCGTTTCTACTGGTGAAAAGACTTCAAGTGGCATTCCAAGCCAATATCAAGAATTTCAAGATGTATTTGAAAAAAAAAAATGTAGATACACTCCCGGAACATCGTCCCTATGATTGCTCAATTGACCTTCAAGAAGGAGGACAACCGCCATTCAAACCAATCTACAGTTTATCACAAAATGAATTGGCTGAACTCAAGGAGTATATTGAAGAAAATTTAGCCAAGAATTTCATACGCCATTCTAAATCTCCGATAGGAGCTCCAATTCTATTTGTGAAGAAAAAAGATAGATCATTGCGGATGTGTGTTGATTATCGAGGACTCAACAAGATTACCATCAAGAATAGGTATCCACTACCTTTAATATGTGGACTTCTTGATCAGCTGAATCAAGCTAAGATCTATACAAAAATAGATCTTCGGGAAGTATATAATCTAGTACGCATCAAAGAAGGAGATGAATAGAAGACTGCGTTTCAAACTAGGTATGGACATTTTGAATACAATGTCATGTCTTTTGGATTTACAAATGCACCAGCAGCTTCTCAACATCTAATGAATGATGTTTTTCGAGAGTTTTTGGACGATTTTGTGGTCTATTATCTAGACGACATCTTAATCTATTCTAAGAATCCAGAAAAACATGAACTTCATGTTCGTTGTGTGTTACAAAAATTAAGAGATGCAGGACTCTATGCCAAGATAGAAAAGTGTGTGTTCCACACTACTCAAGTTGGTTTCTTAGGTTATATCATTTCAAATGATGAACTTACGATGGATCCTAAGAAAGTTCAAACTATTATAGACTGGAAGATCCCAAAAACGGTCAGAGATGTCCAATGTTTTTTGGAATTTGCCAACTACTATCAGATCTTCATCAAAGACTTCTCTCAAGTTGCAGCTCCACTTACACATTTGACTTATAAGGACAAACTCCAATGGAATCAAGAAGCGAAAGTTGCTTTTGAATCTTTGAAGATAGCGTTTGTTTCTGCATCAATCTTGTATCGTGTTGATTTTTCCAAAGCATTCTTTATGGAAACAGATGCATCGAACTTTGCTCTGGGTGTGGTTTTATCACAAATGGGAACAGATGACAAACTTCATCCAGTAGCCTTTCATTCAAGAAAATTCTCAGCAGCAGAAATCAATTATGAGATCCATGACAAAGAACTTCTTGTAATTATGGATTCTTTTCAAGAATGGCATCATTATCTAGAAGGCGCTTCCAGTCCAGTCACCTTGTATACAGATCACAAGAACCTCAAATATTTTATTTCAACATGCGTATTAAATCCTCGCCAAGCTCGTTGGAGCATATCTTTATCAAGATTTGAGTTCATCATCACTTATCGGCCACAAAAACAACAAGGTTTGTCCGATGCCTTGTCTAGACATTCTTATCTTGCACCAAAAGAAGGAGATGCAACTTTTGAGCAACAAAGAATGGTTCTCTTAAAGCCACAGTAATTTCATCTTCGAGCAATAAAATCAACATTGACTGTTGATTTAACTTTTCTTAAGCAAGTCCAGTTAAGTATGTCTTCACACCCTCTTGTTCATGATATCAAGAATAATTCTTCTAAATCTCATGATCCCTCTAAATTTGAATTCAAGAACAACCTACTCTATTTTGAAGGATGCCTATATATTCCAGAAGGAGAAGCATGTTTACGTGTTTTTCAAGCTCGTCACGACTTCCCAACAGCAGGACATTTTGGATATAATAAGACTTTAGAGCTGATATCTAGGGATTTTTGGTGGCCTCAAATATGGAAGGCAGTTAAAGATTTTGTACAATCATGTAATGTTTGCTCAAGATCGAAAACTCCTCATCATCGACCTTTTGGACTTCTTCAGCCATTACCCATTCCAAAACAACCATGGTCTTCTGTTTCTATGGATTTCATCATGGATCTTCCAATCTCAGGTTCTTATGACTCTATATTTGTGATAGTAGATCGTTTTACCAAGATGGCACATTTTATACCATGTACAAAATCTATCATAGGTGAAGAAATAGCTAAGATCTTTCTTGACAATATCTATCGCTATCATGGATTATTCAAGGATATTATATCAGATAGGAGAACTCAATTTGTATGAAGATTTTGGCAGACTCTTTTCAAGATTTTTAAAGTGGATATAAAACTATCTTCGGCATTCCATCCTCAAACTAATGGACAAACGGAGCGTGTTAATCAAGTTTTGGAGCAATATTTAAGATGTACCATTAATTACCAACAAGATGATTGGATAACTCTTTTGCCATTGGCAGAGTTTGCTTACAATAACACGGTACATTCTTCTACAAAACAAACACCTTTCTTTGCTAATTATGGTTATCATCCACGACTTGATACTTTTGACTTTTCAAAAGTTGATAATCCTACTGTGAAAGATTTGGCAATTCATTTATCAGAGCTACATGCAACGATGAAGGCGCAGTTAAAAGAGGCTCAAGAACAACAAAAGGTCAATGTGGATGTCTATCAAAAGGAACAACCATCATTCGTCTTGGGTGATAAGGTATGGCTACTTCATCGCAATATCAAGACTACTCGTCCTTGTGATAAGTTGGACTATTGAAGGCTGGGACCATTTTCTATTTCTGCACAAATCAATCCAGTTGCATATCGTTTATATCTACCAGAGTCAATGAAAATCCATCGAGTATTCCACGTGTCTCTTCTTGAACCATACAAGATAGTGGACATATCAAGAAGACGACAAGCTCCTCATCCTATAGAAGTGGACAATAATGAAGAGTTTGAAGTAGAAGAAGTCTTAGATTCAAGGCGGCGCCAAAATAAATTAGAATATCTTGTCCATTGGCGCGGATATGGTATTAGTGAACGCACATGGGAGCCAATAAAGAATCTTACAAATGTAGCAAAGGCGATGGAGGCTTTTCATCGACGACATCCATCAAAATCAAGATGAAAACCTTCTTTATAAAAGAAACAACATCTAGGCAAGATAATATTTTACTTTCAATTTTTGTTCGTAGCTTCTTTGTAGTAGTGATGCTCAAGAGATGGAGAACCAGCAACCAGCGGATTCGATTCAAGAACCTTCATTTACTGACCTGTCGGACGAGACATTACGATCGTCACAACCTTCAAGACGACGCAATCGAGATGAAGATCTTCAAGAACGACATGTTCTTCCTCGAGTAGATGGCGAGATACAACGCGTTTGATATCACGATTTGGGAAGGGACTCCCGATGTTTGGTGATTGTGCTAGAGGTAGGAACAACTCCTGATGGTGTTCCAAATATTCTATTCGAAGGAAGTTACGAAGGCCTGAACAATGATCAAATAATTGGGTCGTCTTCCCGCCCTGATATGGGACACTACCGATAGTTGAGAGGCCCTATCAATCATCTTTAAAGAGAACAAAGATCAGAGTATGTGGCGAATACAATTCGTCACATCATAGATTTTCTCAACATATGATGACCGCTCCTCGTGGAACTCATCCCTAGAAGGGGGGGTAATGTCACGGACATAATCTAGTAATTATATATACAAATAGGTAGAAGTAAATAAAAGTAGGTAAAAGTAAATTAATTCTATAGTATTTAATATGGAAGCTTCCTAGAAGCTATATAGACGCTGCTTTGACTTCATAGGTGTCTTTAATTTACTTTTTGGATTAGAAACGTGGTCAACAAGTTGGCCATGTGCCACACATGTTGTTAGCTTGAAGATCAAGCTAATTATGTGGCCCACACATAGAAGAACTTGCCTTGTAAGTCAAGGCATGTGTCCTACAAAGTCAACTTATATTGAAGGTCCTATAGAACGTCACCACGTAGCCCCTAGTTAGATAGTATATATAGAGACAAGAGTGAAGGCTTCTTCACTCTTGTCAACTCCTTTCTTGCTTCTAGTCTAATTTCAAGGATCTTTAGTTTTCTTGTCTTTTGGCAATAGCCATTCCAATTTCTCTTTCAATATATATACTTGTTTATATATATTTTGTTACCTCTCTTTGAGTGAAGGCTCACTTGTTTGAATTGTTTTTTCATCGAATTCTTATCCTTGACAGCAAATCAAAAGACAATAGTAGATCTAACTTACATCTAAAAAGCTTCCATAATAGCATAAGATAAAGATGTTCTCTACCTAATTTATTTTTATTTATCACTAATAACTCATATCAATCTAAAATATATAAATGCCTTTAACAATAGAAGAATATGATTCAACAAACCCAATTCTATCATTAAAAATATATCTAAGATTAGATATGATAAAAATAGATAATAATATTAATAAATCATTTTAAGGTTGTAATGCAACTATAATAATTTTTAATATTATAACTTTTTAGTTTTTTAAAATAAAAATAAAATGTTAAAATATTATAAAATAATTATACTTTATATATTTATGATCAAGTTAGTACATTGATACATTTAAAGTCCAAAATAATTTAATGATACCAACTTGCAAAAAATTTAATATTATTAAAATATTTTAAAAAGTTAAGAGCAAGAAAAATTATTCTAAATAGAATTCATACCATGGTATTATAAAGATACAAAGAATCAATGTGTATTTATTTATTTTACATACATTACTTGCAATATATGGTTTATACTACAAATGACTATATATTGAAGATACTAACCACAAAAATAAAAATCCAGCACTAGATAATTCTAAAAACATGAAATACAATAAAACATTACATTACTAGCTTATATGGTTACTAAATATTTTTAAATTATACAAATAAAAAATAAAAATAAAACAAAAAAATCCTATAGTGACAAGAAATAAAATAAAATAAAAAAATTATAATTGACCAATCCCTAAAACATTAATATTTAAGGGATATTCATATGACAATAAAGATAATTTATTTCATGGAACCTTGATTATTTTATCTTTTAAAGGTGGTATTTTTAAAATTGTTTAATGGTACTTAAAATATTGTATTTATATAGAGAAAATCCTCCAAAAAAATTCTCTCACAAGGGAATAGAATTCCTCAAGTTTTTCTCTTGACTAAATTGACCAACCACCAAACAACCCACGTCATCCATCCATCCAACCCCCACACAACCCAATTGTTTCTCCATTGTAGACATCGACAAATGAAAATCATCCGATGACGTATACACTTCATCCTCTGGTCCCTCCAGGGTGCCATGAGCCACATCCCGACCGCCTATTTCAGATCCGACGGCACAGGGTGACAGAGCAGCGGTCTCAGACCACGCCATTTGGAACTCGCCAGCCCTGCCCCAGCTAACAGTTTCAAAGCTGCCCGCCATAACCCGGTCCTCCCAGGGCCGTTAGATCGTCCATCCTACGGGAGCACATATAATACTGCCCTAGTGCCCTAATCCGATGGGAACGGGGAGTCCTTTATCTCTCTCGGAAAGCGACTCATTCGCCAGTGTGCGCATCGCCCGTGTCCCAAGGCACCGGGCCAGACTCTCGCATCGGCTCTACCCACACTCACCCCCACTCACCCTGTGTTTTCTCTGCCCCCTTCGCGCTCTTCGTGTGTGTGTGTTTTTTCACGGTCGATTGGCGAGTTGCGAAGGAGGGCAAGGGTGCTGTGGTGCAGCATCAGCTGGTAGTAAGTCAGTCAGGGTTCGGGTCGCGGTAGTTGGACAAGATGAGAGAGATCCTGCACATTCAAGGCGGCCAGTGCGGAAACCAGATCGGAGCCAAGTTCTGGGAGGTGGTGTGCGAGGAGCACGGCATTGACCCCACCGGTACCTACAAGGGCCTCTCGGATTTGCAGCTCGAGCGCATCAATGTCTACTACAACGAGGCCAGCGGTGGCCGGTACGTGCCCCGTGCGGTTTTGATGGATCTGGAGCCTGGAACCATGGACAGCGTGCGGTCCGGTCCCTACGGACAGACCTTCCGGCCTGATAACTTCGTGTTTGGACAGACGGGTGCGGGAAACAACTGGGCTAAGGGGCATTACACGGAGGGAGCTGAGCTGATTGATTCCGTATTAGATGTGGTGCGGAAGGAGGCTGAGAGCTGCGACTGCTTGCAAGGTATGGCTGGATTAGGGCGATTTGTTGATAATCGGTGATTGCGAGGTGAGGGTTGTGTGGATGCTGTGAGGGTGAAAATAGTTTTTCATGGACGTGGCGATACGGAATTGCGACAAGCGTATTGGGTGTGCATGTGCTGAGGGGTTGTGAGTGTGGTTTTGCAGGTTTCCAAGTATGCCACTCTTTGGGTGGAGGAACCGGGTCGGGAATGGGAACATTGCTGATTTCGAAGATCCGTGAGGAGTACCCCGATAGGATGATGCTTACGTTTTCGGTGTTCCCGTCGCCGAAGGTTTCGGATACCGTGGTGGAGCCATACAATGCTACCCTTTCGGTGCACCAGTTGGTAGAGAATGCCGACGAGTGCATGGTGTTGGACAACGAAGCGCTATATGACATCTGCTTCCGGACACTGAAACTCATTACTCCTTCGTGTAAGTGTAAATGGCGATGGTGGGTGCTCGGATCACGTGGAGAGGGCGAGGGGCTGTATGTTCTGAGCTTGTGCAGAATAGATGTGTTACTAGGAGGATCGTGTGTGGGGGTGGGTTATGGCGGTAGTGCGGGGAGATTTCTGGCCAGGGCTTACACTCAAATAGAATACGTGTGGTGTGTGGTGCAGTTGGCGACTTGAACCATCTGATTTCGGCGACAATGAGCGGTATCACTTGCTGCCTCCGATTCCCTGGGCAGCTAAACTCCGATCTGCGAAAGTTGGCTGTGAATCTGATCCCGTTTCCGCGTCTGCACTTTTTCATGGTTGGTTTCGCACCCCTGACGTCGAGGGGATCGCAGCAGTACAGGTCGCTCACTGTTCCGGAACTTACGCAGCAAATGTGGGACGCGAAGAACATGATGTGCGCGGCCGACCCCCGACACGGAAGGTACTTGACGGCTTCTGCGATGTTCCGAGGTAAGATGTCGACCAAGGAGGTGGACGAGCAGATGATCAATGTGCAGAACAAGAACTCTTCATACTTCGTGGAATGGATCCCGAACAACGTGAAGTCCAGTGTGTGCGACATTCCTCCGACAGGTCTGAAAATGTCTTCGACTTTCATCGGTAACTCCACTTCGATCCAGGAGATGTTCAGGCGTGTGAGCGAACAATTCACTGCTATGTTTAGGAGGAAGGCTTTCTTGCATTGGTACACAGGCGAGGGCATGGACGAGATGGAGTTCACGGAAGCGGAGAGCAACATGAACGATTTGGTTTCGGAGTACCAGCAGTACCAGGATGCCAGCGCGGAGGAGGAGGGCGAGTATGAGGAGGATCTGGAGGAGGCCTAGATGTATTTCGGAGCGATTTCGTGTGCTGTTGGTGTCTTTTGGTTGGAAGCGATTTAAACAGGAGAGTCTGTTTGGTGGCTTAGGGTAATTCGGTGGAGCCTGAAAGATATTGCTACGTCTTGAAATACCATCTTGTTTCAGTGCGCATTGCTTGCAAAAGCATTGATAGTTGTAGCGGGATATGGTGCTGTTTATGGTTGTATTTGAGCATATGTTTCGTGACATCTGTGTTGCTTGTTGGGCTTGCCATACTGGTAGTGTCTTGTTGAGTATCATATTTACTTTCCAATGTAATATTCAACATTTTCTCCTAGCATTACTATACCATTTCCATCTATTCCCAATGGCGCTATCGTCTCCCTGGATACATTTAACCCATATTTGTAGTCCAGTGCATTAAATGCATGTGAAATCGCATTTATAGATGCGCATATTTAATGTCAAATTAGACATCTTCACTCATATAATACATTTTACCAAAAAATGAAATGTACACACAGAATATTTTCAAACTGCCGACTATCTCAAAAACCTATACATTATCAATCTCATTGACATACCTCATTGAAATACTCCTCATTGAAATACTACATAATTTTCATTGTCAATATTGCCAACATTCAACCATGAGAAGCTGATTATTATTTCTTTTATACTGCTTACTCTCTTAATGCAAATTCACCATTCCTCATGAGAGCAGCTGTATCTACTCCCCTGATCAATATTACTACTAACTTCTCAGGAATAGTACTCGATATATTGCGCTGGTTCAGTTACGCAATTATAAAGTCCATCGTGTAAACCATAATCGTCACAACTGCGACTATCTGATGCCAGAATTTCAGCAAATTTTAGTGCCGATCCGACCAGTTCAATGCAGAAGAGGAATATAACTATCTAGAGGTTGTTCACAATCTTTTTCATTACAGTGCAGCCAAAGTTCTGCAACGAAGATACATTCGCAACTTGCATGCAAGGTGAAGACACATATCGCGGCTAGATCCTCAGTTCGTTGTTAATACCTGGGAAAGAAAATCAACAAATCGAATTTTTCTGCATCAAATAGCCATGACAAAGATTAGTACTTCCAGTGCAAGTATAGTCTGCGGAAATATATCGCAGTCCTCGTACTACAGCTTCAAAATTTGGGTACATGACGAGGATTTCGACGCACAAGAACAGAATTAACCCGATCGTATCGAGCGTTACAGTAAACGAGACGAAGTGCCTGTGTCTTCAAACCGGCAGATCTCTACGAAGTAAGAATCTACTCAGCAGTGAGAGCGAGAGCATCTGGTGTGGCAGAATCTACTATGATTACAAGTGCCCTATACTGAATGTAGAAGCCTGTATCCACCTCATATAGGAAACGAAGTAATCCATACCGACATGTTACATATCTCCACTGAAGCAGTTCCGTATGGGCATACAGGAAATGATGAAGCACAACGCGTATACCAATTTTCTATCAGATACACAATCACCCAATTCAAAACGCACGTTTATACAACCAACACGCCATACTCAAGATGAGCAGGCAAATGCAGAAAACATCTGGAGGGACGAATGTGAATGAAACGAATTCCCCTTACAAAAGATCTTGGCTGCAGATCCCCAAGTGGGTGAGACTCAGTATGCAGGGGCATCTCATATACGTCCAAGAGGACTCCAATCCAGAAGACACTGCGATACCAAGCCATAAGGGCAGGGGTGGAAGCGGAAGCTGAAAGAACAGAGTAAAGACTATATCAGCTTCCTGACACGTCACACGGCCCGTTGCCATGGGACTTCACACCTCAGCATGCCCTATCCATCACAACATAAGTCCAGGCGGCAACCCATGCACATCTAATGTGTCCCGTAGACGGGAACATGCCTTCTCCATGTTCAGGTTCTTAAGTAAGTCCACGCCCTGTGCACCCATGAAAAAAGTGGGATCTCCCTTGTAGACCGTTCCTTGACTACGACCTACCAAGATAAGCGAATGTCGTTCGCATACCGAAATTTGGTATTTCTCATCCTCGCGACCTCCCATTTTTCAAGAGTTATGAACCATAAAATCCGATGGTAGCGTCCCAGACCCTCCCATCATCCGTCCCTCCAAATTTTTCCCACTGCTCGGAGCCATACAACTTGTATTTACCCCGACTTTCGCAGGATGTGATGGTGGCCTAACCACATTGCTGCCACTTCGCATCTGTGGTGAAACCACCCCTCCAGCGAACAGTGATGATGACAATCCACTCGAGTTCTTGCCGTTTACTCCCGATGAATATAGATCTGGAGACTTAGGCTTTGGGATATTAGGACCCAAGTCCAGCTTGCTTAACTGCTGCTGGGAAATCTCGAAGGCATTGGGAGATAGAGGTCGGTGCTGTACCACTTGAATCTGCTGCTGCGACTGATTCTGCTGATTGAAAATCTGAAGAAGCCTCTGGACCTCTTTCTTCAGAGACTCATTTTGAGCTGTGCGCATCATCATAGTGTCACCATGTCAGATATCAGACGACGACATCTGCGTCTCCCGTCGACATTCGACAACACAATAGCCCATTTACAAGTGCCCAACCAACTGTGCACTCTTGAACCAGCAGAGGAAGCAAATGACCATTCCCAATACCGACCCAGCCACCACACCTAACCCTTTACTATCGCAGACTTCTGATCAACCAGGCGTCAAATACTTACCCTCCTTGTACCGCTGGCTTTGACTAAGCGCCGCTAACTTTTGCTTCAGCAAAACATTCTCTGCAGTAAGAAGAGCCCTGCGATGATCGTAGAACCCCACCTGAGGCGACATCGTTGAAACCTCGGTCTGCAAGTACCGATACCAATTAGAGACACAACCTTCAACAAGTTCGTCGAAAACCAAAGCTACAAATTCACGAAATTTGCAGCCCAAACATACGAATCTCAAAGTCAAACGTCAAACGTCACCATTAAATACCTGCAACGCATTCACACTTCTTTCCAGCTCTGATATGTATTGCAGCTTTCGTACACGAGATCTCTGAGCAGACTGTCTGTTGGCAAGAATTCTGCGCAACAACTCATCCACATTAATCACACCACCCAACCGTTCCTGTGTCAACATCCGAGACCCTGCAATCTATCCTCATAAACTCTGAACTGTACAAATAAAAGCAATCATTTTAACATACCCAGCTACCAAAGACTCTCATTTCCACAAACAAGCATTCCATCCGCTCCCTTGCGGCTCATTCTTAAGGAACCCCCGGAAAGGCATGACTGCAATTCCGACGAGCCCCATCTAATTTCCGTGAATTCATTTACCCTCAAAGCCATTGTGCTTAGGCACATATCCACCCACACAAGGCATCCAGCTAGGAACAAAACCATCCATTTCATAAACATTGTAACTCGAGCATGTTAGTACGGCGTTTGCAGATCTTCACCTCTTAGCCTTCTTCGGATCCAGACTTGGGTCCACCTCCGTACCATCGCCTTGTGCCTGTCGTGACCCATCACCTTCCCTCTTGCTCTGTGCTTCTTGCTCGAACTTCTCCCTTCCCAAATGTCCAGATTGAAGTTCGTCATGGGATTCATCACTGTGACTGTTGCTGTCAGACCCAGTTGACCGATTCTCAGAGGTCGTCACATTTGATTTCTGATTCCTCCCTCTCTCATGACTCACGCTGTCGGATGTCGAGTTGGAGACGGGCAACGTCACATGCTTCTTGCCTTTCTCTGGATTCCAACTATCGTTAGATGACCCTGGTCTCACCATACCAGGTGGTCCAACGCCTCGAGGGATGTGCTTCTCAGGCCTCTGCCTTGGCTGCTGTGTCTGGAATGGCTCCAGCTCAGAAAGCACGCTCATCAGCTGTTCTTTGTCTAACCTGCATTAAACAAACTTAGATGTTATGAATCTTAAACAGGTAACTTGCGTGGAAAAACACCCCACCCTAGAGGACAATGTCAGAGAGCAAGTAAGCGCTCTATCTCCAACAAAATTTAGTATGTTCCAAATCGTCAAAGCAACCTCATGGTAGGTCCAAGCTTGCATGAACTACACGGAAAAAAACCTCATCTTAAAAAAATAAAAAAATAAAAAAGAAACGAATATAAAATTAAATTATAAAATAATGTTTATCACAAATCACATTCAAGGTCGCCGTTCAAAAAAACAACCCACCTATTGTTGTTATAATCTGCACTCATGCCCCTCCTGTGAGATGGTCGCTGTGGACCAGGAACATCATATTGGGAACTGCATTAGTCAAGACAAACATCAAATTAGTCCATTAACGATACAAAAGAGGGAACTGTAACTAAACATCAAATAAACAAAAAAACAAATTAGTGTTCTGCTTTTGTAATACAACAGTACGTTGCAAGTGTGTCATGAAATGTTACATCACCTTTTCAAATCTGCACTCACCCCCCTCCGATGGCTCGGTCGTGCAATCGGAGGTGGGGGATCCCGCAAAACAAATTCCTCTTCTTCCGTGACATTCGCTACGAAATTAGTTAAATCTTGAGGAGAGTCTAGAAACGCCACTGAGTCACTAGATGACCGTCGATGTGAACCTTTCCGCACTACAACTTCTCCATCTGGAGATTCCAATATATCCTCCAACCACAATGGCACAACGTTGGGTAGGTACCCAGCCGAAGGAGTGCGCTTGTGGTGGCTACCACCCCGAAGTGGAAGACTGGCCAAAAGATCCGATTCAAAAAGGCTGGACCCAGATCCAAACATTGAGTACGCCCCAGGGCTCTTTGGAGGAAGCTGTGAGGAGCTACTCATGGGATGCGACCAGTTCACTTGCCGAGCATCGCCTTTACCCGAAGACATGCTGTCCACTGCCAGACCACTTGGCGAGGAGGAATATCCTGCAAATTCATTCAACCAAAAGGTATAAGTCACAAACGACTATCCTATCTCTTTCTACATCCCTCCAAGCTTGTAAAAAAGATTTGAAGTAGGGGTTGCATCCACATTAGGGAGTAAAATATGCGGCTACAATTTAGATGGCATTTATTTGTCTACAGGAGACCTCTAGTGAATCTTGCTAGCCAACATCTAGTCGGTAAGGATAGCATGCAGGATCTACTTGGCAAAACCAAGGTGTAATGTTTATCAGAAACAGTAAGCACATGTCACCCCCTCCAGTGGAAGAGCAGGAACAGTGAGAACAACTACCCAAAAGGAGACAAAGTTCTGAATAAGCAAACCTCAAGGAAGATTAGAAATTATTCTCGTTGCCCGGCAGATCACAACATTCGATGAGGATGCCAGCACAGAAAGATTGCGACGGCGGATTTTAAAAACCAGGCCAGTTCTCTTCATGCTCCATCATCATCAAGTCTATAGTAATGGTACTTCTCCTCACCCTATTCACTCACCCCAATTGAACCCAAGCCCGGTCTGAACACGATAGTCATCTAAACCATTTAGAGCTGAACCATAACACAGCTGAACAAACCTAATTAGGCAAGAAACATGTGCATGCTTCACTAGAGAAATGCGCTGTAGCGTCAACCCTACTTGAACTTGAGGAAGTCTTCGGATGTTCCGCCTCAGCCCCTCATTACTACCGATAAAAGAATCATAACATCGCAGATTTGACTGTCGCTTCCACTACACCTCGCACAAATAACCCAACTCCTCCCCCATGATGAGTCTTGATCCACTGGCAATCGACTTCAACATCTAGTGAAGAAGATCACTGTAGATTCCCTTTGGTACAAATTCACGTCATCCACAAGTCTGGCAGCATGAGAAGTATGCCAATGGTGTCGATCGGCCTTATCCTTTCTTATCAGGGTCTGAACGCCTCGCTTTTCACAATTACTTCACAACCTACAAAGAGAAATGAAATATTTCAGCGAACAGACTTAATCCCCACCAATCATCATAGATGAAACATCGCACAAATACTTTACACCATCGCACCAGAAAATGTCTTAAGCAAATCCAACCTACTTCTGTGTAATTCATTCTATCTATTCACTTCCAACTCTGCTGAACCAGCATAAAAGAAAGCGACCAATGGCAATGCCGTATGTCTACCAAGCATTAAACCATCCTTAGCCACCAAGGCAACTGGTGTAGTAGGCATCTTCACATTACAATAAAAACGACATCTCATGGCTGAGGAGGCGAATATTTTTCATAGGACCGTGCCGAAAATAAAGGAATACATCCATATTGCAAGAATGCACTCCACTCAAGCTCTTGCTGTAAAAGGGTTCTAACCAGAAACTGAACTCAAACCCACTGAAAACACGCAAACACAGTTCAGTATCATACAGCGCCTACCAGAAGCCCCGATCAATCTATCGCAATCAACTTAATCCGCTGATCAACATTGATGGTGGTACATTTTCCCAACTCATCCGTACTCGCACAACTAATAACTATCCCCAGATCTACCGCACATACCAACCACCACATCAAACCTGACGGAACCCTTCCCCAATCTTAGAGGTCAAACAATACCCAAACTATTGACCCACACATGTAACACAAGTACCAATATCTACGCACCGCAGGTCAACCTCACACGTCTGGCTACCACACCACCAACTTAATACTGCGTCACTACAACCCTGGATTGTCAATAACAGTTCACCACATGCACGGTACCTATGGACAAATTATCCGCTAGCTTAGGCGATCAGAGAAACATAGAGGACTCCAATTTATCCAACCACACGACGATCTTCCAGGACGTATCATGTCATTCTATTGCCCGAACGGTAAAATGAATTCCCTAAAATAGAAACCTCCGACAGAACTTCACATCGAACACTGAGCCCATCCCGCGTGTTCTCAAAAACACCAGCGCCTCTAATTCCTCTCTCAACATTGCGTATTCAAAAATGTCGCCTTCCACCTCGCATCCATCGTGTCTGCACTCAACTCAACCTACAGTCTTGCGCAGACAATGCCTCCACCAAAAGTATCACAACACTGCACGCTCTCGCAAACACCCTGTCTCAATACAATCTCATGTGGCCCTAACCACAACCCTCCCAAAGCCCCTCGCGCATCAATCCCTCGTCACCACATCTCCACATCACACCCCGCATCAACCCTCGCACCAAACTCTCCAACAAAAACGAAACCTCCGCACCACATCCAAAAACCAGTCCCAACGCCTTGAAACCAAATCATAGTCCATATAAAACAGCGCTAACGCCAATCACAGCACATGATCTGATGAACCAAGCGCACCAATCACCACTACCTCGCCAAAGTCACGGCACCGCAATATCCACGACACAACGGAAAATCCACCCCGCTCAGTTCATTTGGTAGAGAGTAACAAGAGACAGCGGAGGCAGAAGCAGCTCAAGGGCAAGAAACGCGAGAGCGTAACGAAGAACGATTCTGCAGGGGCTCTTTTCGCTCTGTCTCTCTCTCTCTCTCATCTACTCAAGTATTGATGCCACCATCGGCCGAGTAAGCAATAAGCAAGAGCAAAACAGCGAACGAGCGAGCGAAATGACAACCGCTAGGGTGTATTCACGGGAGGAGAGAGGAAAGGAGGATAGAGCAGACAGAAAAACCAAACAAAAAAAAAAAAAAAAGAGGAGAGAAGAAAGAAGAAGAGAAGCAAGGCGAAGAAGGAATGGAGGCGGAACTGCGAAACAGGAATCTACTACCGTAACTGAGCAATCGCGCAAGCCTCTCTCGCACAACCTGATGAGCCTCGAACCAAAATAAACCGAAGGTACCGCGAAGCAGCCGCACGCATCCCCAATATCATCGCCTCCGGTGCCTTTCCGGTCCGCCCCGCCCCTCCAGGGCCGTGCTGGTGCTGTGCTGGAGGAGAGTGGTGGTGGACTGTATCGACGCGCCCTAGGGTAGAGCCCAGGCTGGACTTCACACACCCCCCCCCCCCATGGCCAGGACGAAGACGAAGAGGAAGGGAAGCAGCAGCCTGCGACAGAGAACGGCATCTCTTTTCCACGGTATTTTAAACTGTAATAGTTCGTATTTATGGAGTTGTGTGTGTATGTATTTTGTGTACTCTCTTCTTCTCTACGACGTAGCTCCCTGCTTCGCGCTTTTTGTGTCTTGGGAATGGATGAAGTGTAGCTGGTTGGGTTTGGGTGGATGAATCGGTGGCTCACATCCATCGCCGTGTTTCTGGAGGTTTTCTTAGTTTTATGGGATATATTGGCAGTCAATGCGAATTGCGGCATAGTGTTCTCAAACGTTGATTCATACTTGGTGATTTCCATGAGATGTAGCTACTTTTTTTCTTTTTCTTTTTTTTCCTAAGGATGATGGATTGTGATCTTTAATTATTTTTATTTTATTTTTTGGCAACATCCAATGTTGTTCTTTGTATGAAATAAGGTTGAAATAAAAGCATTGGTTTGTATTGATATTCCAAAAATTAAATGGTAGATTTCATGTGAAGGCAAACATAGGCCATTAAGGAGGGTCTTGATTGGTTTGAACTTGTGGTTTATTATTGTTAATATTAAAATTGGTGTTTTGTGTATATTTGCAAGTAGATGACATTGAACAAATTTGACATTTTTCTGAAAGTTTTTCCATTTTGTTGGTTGCAAAGAATGGGGCCTCTCTCATCGTTGATATTTTTGCATGGAGGATTTTTTTTACTTGACATCTACTCAAAAAGTAGGGAGCTTCTTTTGACCATTAGATACGTGTTGGATTTGCTATGCTTCAATCCAATTGGCAATAGAGGTCGGATTGAGGTCTCACAACAACAACATGGTTGGTTATTGAAAAAGTACTTGGTGGGGCTCATTCACATCAACTATCAATTCTACATAAAGGAAACAAAGCAAAACACAAAACAAGATTTTATGTTTTCAATCTTGATGGAATATTGTCTTCCACTATTTTGAAAATATGTGTTGAAAATAAATCATGTTAGCCCATTGAGACTCTTTTTTTGCCGATATTTTCTTTGTTGATTTACTTTTAAATTCAAGTAATTGAATATTAATCAAGAGAAAGAATGTGGAGGCACAACAACATTTCTGACATCTGTATGTACATATATGTATATGTATACATATGTTTTCAACATTAATATCTTTTATGATATTCTATATATATAAATATATATATATTTATTTATTTATCAAAATTCAGGTTACCATAAATGTGCTTTCACACATCGTACCAATTTCTTTCTTGATTTCAGTTCACTTGTTTAAAAACACTTTCAATATGATCTTGCTATTGTAAATTATCCAATTTGATTTATAGTTTGAGGAATCAAACATTGAACTTAAAGAATAAGTACATGTGAATTTCATTTTCGAAAAGAAATAATAAAGTGCACGTAATATGAAAGATTGGTAAGCATGAAGTTTGAGGTTTTCATTTGTCACACACAATGAAGTTGAAAATACAAATCATGATGAAGAAGCATTAAATACTGTTAGTAACTATGCAAGAATAATGATTATACATTACTACTATCCTTATATTGTTAACACATTGACTTTAATCAAATTATAATACTCTAGCAGTCATGTTTTGAGTGCATTGTTGTGTTGTGTTTTGGTCATTTCAATGTTACCTTTTTATAACAGCTCCACCACAGATCCCCTGTTAACTGCTAACTGATCTATATCGGTGATATTTTACGAGAACCAACCACAACGTCCAAAGCCCAAAAGGCAGTTTCAACTGTAACTTATCAACTCAACCACTAATTTTTCACAACTTAATCTGAAAACAAAATATGTGGTAAAATTATTTTCAATATACATGAAATATGAAAGTTGGAGTGAACAAGAGAAATACATGGTCCCATGCAAAATTTGTTAAAATATGCATGCACATGCAACAAACATAAAAATCCAATGCCACTATTAAAACAAAAATGTGAGTATCCATGATATTCTATCATCCATCATTGTATTGTGTTCTCTCTCTCTCTCTCTCTCTCTCTATATATATATATATAAATATATATGAATGAGTATTGGAACATGATTGAAGTTCCTCACAACTTGTCCTTTTGACTTACTACCAATCATAATGCCATAGATATATATATATATATATATATAGGGAATGAAGAAAAAGTATAAATGGCATGCTATGATTTGTTGTTCAGCATCCCAAGACAAAAAGGAAAGAATTCTCTTGGGCCTTGCAGAGAGAGTATTGCCATGAGGCTTTGCAAACTTCCGGCACTGGCTGAGCTGGCAAAGGACCAACGTGGGTATAGGCTGAGCTGGCTATCCACTGGGCACAAATCACAACACAGTGCATCATCTTCTCATTCTATTGCGCAGCTAATGGGACCCATATACCCATTTGTTCTCTGTGGCCTTGTGTGTGGGCAGGGCCATGGTCCAAGTCAAGCCCATGAGTTGGATGCTTTTGTGGGATGCCCCGCCAACGAAGCACGAAGGCTGTGACCTGGCATTGGCTGATGTGGCAGCCCCCCTCACAATGCCAATTCTTCCCACTCTTCCCTATTTTTGATTCTCTTATTTATTTTTGTTGCTATTAAAATTACATATAAAGCAATGGTAGTGGGGTCATGAGAAAATACATCTATGTGTTCTTATTTATTTTTGGGGGATATATATAAAAATATAAATGATCTATTATTATTTTTTATGAAATGATACTTCTTTATTACTTCCAAAAAATTCCACGAACCAAAACAAAGATCTACCATCCTCTTGCAAACCAAGCAAAGATACAAAAGTGGAGTCCACAAAGCACCTCTGTTACAATGAACTCTTGAGGCACACTTATGAAACAATAAAACTCAGCACACATGCCTCATATCCAAGCCTAGAGCTAAAATGAAACCCATGACAATCACACCAATTGTCACATAATGGGTCACTTTAGTGAAAGGTGTCTTAATTTCAAAATTCATATATATATATATATATATATATATACATACACAAGAAATTGTTATGGTGACCCAAACATTTACTAAATCAATCCACACAGTCCACACAAATAGTGGAGAATTTTTGATGATGGTCACGATGAGTGGGTCAATTTAATAAATACTTGTGTCACTTTAACATTTCTTATAATATATATATATATATATATATATATATATATATATATACAACCATAGGTTATAATTTCATTTATGAATGTAATTTCTTACTATTATTCAACACAACAAATCATCATTCCATTTATTTAAGAAAATCACGTCTATAATTTCGAACCCTGAATTTTTATTATTCTTGTGGTATATAACCTTTCCAAGCGACATTGTAACCTTTTCATATTTTACACGCGGATGAATTCATCCAAATCCAAACCACACATCCAACAACAGAGACATATCATCCAATTAGAAGAAGTGGAGCGACGAGGTTCATCCACGAGAAACGGGCACAGGATGCAAGCGGCCATGGGGCGCGTACGGGGTGCAGATATGGGGTCCGATGGCGGTCCGCGTTCACAATGGCGGAGCAGCGGGGACGCGAGAGGCAGCCACAAAGACTGAAGGCCAGCTGCGGCTGCACAACACTCAGTCGAGACAGACACAAAGACACACACACAAACAAACACGCAGCGATGCACGCAACACAAGAGGAGGAATGGAGTGAGGAAGAAGAAGAAGAGGAAGAGGAGGATTTGCTGCATTCTGTTTCTGCCACAATCTTACTCTACTGATTCACTGTCTCCTCTACTGATTCATCAGCTCCTTCGAACTACCTCAAGGTGTTGTTGCTGTCGTCGTCTCTCATGGATGTTGCTGGTCAGATTTTAGCTTTGGTTAGCTTAGCCCAGTCTAGCACCAGCCCAGCACCAGGATAGGCATTACATACATGTTGTGTCAGTGGCAGCAGCATTCATTCTTCTCCTGCTTCAGTTTCCAGCCAGATATGCAAACAAACAAACAGACAAACCAATGCGAAGCAAGCAAGTCGGGTGGGTGTTTCGACGACTGCCGTATGAAAGTTTTTTACGTTTCATTGTGCAGTTATCCTGGATGTGTCAGGATTCACAACTTTTTTGTCAGTGGAATGGATTTTTTATTATTTTTTTACTGTTTTTTAATATTTATTAGCAAGTGTAGATGGAGGGAGATAGGGACGACCTTAGGTACATTAAGATGGGGAACTCGTTTTTGTTCAAGTGTATGGATATAGATAGAAATATGTAAAAAAAAAGCAGGCTTCGTTGTGATTTATTTTAAGGATGTTTTCCGGAGTATAAATAAGAGCGGAGATATTACGAGTGTAGTTGCGGGGGACTACGACGCCATTCCAAATCCCGATGCGGAGATGACAGAGCTGATCCAGCTACCTGTAGCCTAAATCAGGATGCTCGGTTACCACATTCCCACCCCCACTTTCGAGCTCGCTTAAGTGCTCCGGATCTCGCTCTCCGACACACCGCTGTCAGATCCATCGAGCACCACCACCACCCGCCGAAGCAAGCAAGAAAGAGAGTGACGAGAGACTGCACCGGACCCGCGGTTCCAGATTGAGTAGGCGCACAATACGTCACAACACGGCGGAACCACTGAACATGGCCATTTCCAGCAATGCCCGGGACGAAGCAGTGCGAAGCACGACCTGAGCTCTCCACTTCTTCAGTGGGTGTTCGTTTTTCTTTTATTAAAC